TTCTATTTAAAAAAAAAGCTTTTAGCAAACATGCAATTCTTTTTTTTTTTTTTTTTAAACATTTCAGTTAAAGTTCCTGTGTGGGAACAATGAGAGCTATGTAGAAACTGTACTCCCTATACCACACCGTGGCCTTGAAGGTTCTTTGTATGGACAGACTTGGTCCTCAGGGAGCTGCTTTCTGAAAATATGAGAGGATTTAAAGGGGAAATAAGAAGCAGTTTAATTCCAGTTAGGTGTGAATAATGTCTATGCATGACAAACTGCTGTACTTTCTTTCAAGAGCCCTGAGGAGTCCTATTGGTGAAGTCTGCTGCTGCCAGATGAAGCAGGGAATCTTCATCAGGACATCATTGCTTCCCTGACCTTGCTGGTGACTCGTGTCTCCCCTAACGATACTGGCAAGACCATAAGAAATCACAGCTCAGTCCTAATCTCTGAAGTTATTCTTATTTTCCAAGGAAGGAGCACTGTGTCCTTCTAACAAACATTTGAAGAGAAATGGATCCGTAAAGTAGGGCCCCCAGCTGGAGATAGTTTGGTTGTCCTCCGTTCACCTTAAAACGAGCAAAGCATGTTCCCAAACCCAAACTCCTTCTGTTTGTTCAAAAGCAAAGACTTTGTGACTGTTCTCACTGACTGGTTCCTCAGAGGGCTCATTTCCATAGCTGATGAGTAATTTCTGAGCCCAACGTGAGGCTCACAAGATGGATCATGTCGTGACAGGAGCAAGGAAACATGCCTCATCGGATGAGTCCGGCTCGTGTTTTCAGCAGCACAGTTCATATCAGCTCATTTTCTTGTTTTCTTTTTCTTACCTGCGGATGAACAACCCAGTTCTCCCTGTTGTTTGTTGTTAACTCTGAGAAGTGCCCTCATGGTCTTGAAAGGTCAGCAGAGGCACCATGGACATCTTTTTGAGGGCAGTGGTGAGGATATTTGGAAAGGAAACTCAGGCCACACACAGCACCAGGTTGTTGGTGCTGCCATGGGCTGTAGCCCAAGGTACGCATAGGAGGTTCCTGATGCCTTGAGCTTTCAAAACCCTTTCCAGAAAGCAGGGTGAAGCTTCAGCCCCTGCATCTTCGCTGGTGTTTGTGAGGGCAGGTACTCAACACAATGGTAAGCAGTGCAGTGGAAGATCAGGGCTGGTTTGCAGATTGATGGGGACTGATGGGGAAGGGTAACAGTATTAGATGCTCCCATTGGTTGCTTGCTGAGTGGTTTAGGTCATATAACAGGTCTTCCCTACCCATACTTGAATAGCATATATCCAGTGTGGTAGATTTTACTTACAATGATGAAGTTGCATTATTATCTTGTGGGGGATCGAGGGGAGGTGCTTGGATTTTTCCCACTGGACTGAAGGAAAGATCATTTTATTTGTTTATTTACAATTATTTTTAAAATTATATTTTAAACCAAAGCCACATTGTTACGAGTCAGCATGACTGTTGCTGCAGCAATTCCTCCATCTGTGGTGCCCATGCATTACCTAACAGATGCCTGCACCTCCACTAGGGACCCCCTTATAACACCTACAGGCTTATTTCTGTCACTTATTTCTGCTTCTTGCAGAAATTCCTCAGGGAGGCTCTGCACATCCTTGGGAGTGCTAAAGAAAAGGAGAGGACACTTAGGTAGTTTGGAGTAATAAGGAGATTTCAAAACTTGTTTTAAGTCTAGTATTGAAATGTGGTTTATTTCTTTGAACTTTACCATTTCTGCAGCTCCTTCTTTGTGGCTCTGCTGGCTTTCCCTGTGCTTCCAGGGTGAATGAAGGTGTCTTTCTAGTCCTTCATTTCCCAGGAGATGTGAGGGTCTACCTTGCTTCTGTATGGAGATGCTGAGAGGCTTAAGTACACCAAGTGTTGAAAATTAAACCAATAAGGTCAGGTCCTCATTCAGTATTGACTGTCTTGGCTTTACTGGCTTCACTGAAGAGATGATGCTTTTTACCATGGCTTCAAAAGATGAGGATTTGACTGCTGACTGGATGGCAGGGATACCAGAGCTTAAAAAGGATAAAATATAAGTTGAAACTTTGGTATAAGAACCCTTTTTCTTGTTTGGAGAAGAGCCAACAGGATGAGATCTTGCTCCAGTGCTCGGTTTGGTTTCCACTGCAGAGGAAAAGAGAAAAAGATCATTTGGGGATCCATAAGAATTCTGCGACACCTTCCATATTTTGACATTGCCTATACTGTCCTAAGGAACTTCACGTGCTGGGAGTCAGCCTGACTGCAGCTTTTTAACCATGTTTATAATGGGAAGTGTGTCACAGTTCAAAGTTTAAAAAGTCCTTCTCTTCTCTTCTCTTCTCTTCTCTTCTCTTCTCTTCTCTTCTCTTCTCTTCTCTTCTCTTCTCTTCTTTTTTTTTAAATATGATTGTCTATGCTGATAATTAATAATACAGAGAAAGAAGACATGCTGTCCTTGTGCGTGCAAAATCTGACAGTGCCAGTTAAGATCAGTGCTTTAGCCCTCTTGCTTCCTACTACATTTTGCTAATGTGAATAACATCACGCTTGTGCCAAGCATGTTATGCTCTGTGCTAATCTTGCCAGACAACTTACCTATCTTTTTGTGCAGATGATTGCCCTCCCCAAGCCTGCTGGTTCTGTTCTGGCAGAAACATCCAGCTGTGTGCTCTCAGCTCAGTCTCTGGGCACAAGGCATGTCACCTTTTCCTGCTGTTCTTGTGCTCATCCCTCAAAGCTACCTGTTGCCTTTTTCTTCCTGATCGGTTGCTCTGTGTAGAGCAACAAGAAAGCTGAGTCCAAGAGGTAGGGACTTGCAGGGTCTCTGGGGTGTGATGGCCTCAGACAGCGCATTGGAGATGCCAGCTCTGGACCTACTCATGGCCTCTACTGGGGTGAGGTGGAGCCACATCTCTTGTTGGTTCAGTGTCTCTCTTTTTTGGGGTTTCTTACCAACCTTGACGTGCCTTTGGATGCTGGCTGTGAGCCTGTTGCTGCAGGCTTCCAAGGAGATTCTGGAAGGAAACCTCCTGCTTCTGCCCATGGTGCCATTCTGGAGGCTGTGAATGATCCTGCTTCTGTCCCCTTCACGGTCAATCCCAGCCACTGACAAGAAGCACCGTCTTGTGGCAAAAGCAAGAACTTGGGGTACAGAAATGCACAGCTTCAACCAAAGCTTCCCATGTGACAGTGACACTTCATTTCTGTGGATTCCTCACTTCCTCGGTCCACTGCACTGAGAGTTCTCAGGGGTGGGACAGCTGCAAGACCAAACCCTGCAGGAGATGGAGGAGTGTGTTCCATCATGTTCATGCCATGATGCCTGCAAGGCATATTATAGAATCATAGAGTCATAGAATGGCCTGGGTTGAAAAGGACCACAATGATCATCTAGTTTCAACCCCCTGCTATGTGCAGGGTCGCCAACCACCAGACCAGGCTGCCCAGAGCCACATCCAGCCTGGCCTTGAATGCCTCCAGGGATGGGGCATCCACAGCCTCCTTGGGCAACCTGCTCCAGTGCTGGGTGGAGACCCTGCGTCTCTTTATCCCTCACTCCACAGCCAAAAGAGGGAGAATCCTCCCTCTTTCCTAATCCAAACACGGATCTCATGCCTTAACCTTCAGACCTCTTTGTCTCTCTGTCGAAATGCTGTTGTGTGATAGTTGCTTGGTACTGCATGCACAACGCTGGTGGGCTCTGCCTGCCTGCAGCCCCATCCACCGTGGCTGTCAGATGGCTGCTTGCAGAGCTGTCTGAGATCTCTGCTGAGCACCCACCTCGCAGCTCTGTAGGGCAGTGTTATTGCTGCAGAGCGTGGTGGCTGTGTGCTGGGTGGAAGGGGGTTTGTTTAGCTGTCCTATAAATCAGCAGCATGCGCCAGACTCTGCTGCATAATGTCTGATGCATATTCATGCTTGCCAGCAGTGTGGCCGGGACAGCATTGTGTCACTGTGTTAATAGTGTGCCCCAGAGGGAAGGGAAGGAGGAGGGGGGCTCAGCAGCAGCTGCCTGCTTGCTTCCCTTTCTCTCCTCCCAGCTGCCCGCTTGGCCCCCCACACGCACCCTCACTTGCTTTTCTGTTGCATTTTCCCTGCCTCCTTCTCCCAGATTTGCCAAAGCAGATTTGATTTTGCTGCAGTACTTTCTTTCTTCTCCCAGCTCTGCTGCTAAACAAGGGTATGTGCCTGCAAAAGCTCTGCAAGGGCTGAATGAATGCAGAGAGATGATCGTTATATTTGATCACATAAATTAAGTGGCTTACTAATCAAGGAGACACTGAAAATATCTGATTTTGTCTGTTCAGGGTCGCTCGAGCTCTTCCTTTGGGCTCTGTGTTTGAATGAGCTGTGAGAGCAGCTTTTATCAGTGTCCCCATGGGAATGGAAAGGCGAGAAGGGAACTCACTCTTGTTCCCTCATGCCACAGGAGACGATCCCTTTGCTCTCATGCATGCAGCAAAGAGGAGACCATTGCAGCTGTGCTGCTGTGCCCTGTCCTATAAAGAGGGGGGAGAAAAGGCTGTGAGCCACAATTCTCTAAGAAAGATAGAACTTTGGAGGATGTGATTAGCAGCCTGTGGTATTGTGTGAGAGAAAGCGGGTGGGGATTGAGTGCCTGGTAGAGTCAAGTTGTGCTCTAACAAGAGGGATGGTTTCTTGCTCCTTGGGGAGGAGACCTGTGGGATCCTTGCCAAAGTATGATGTGGGTTTGGAGCTTCTGTGGGTTCAAGGGGAGGCTGGACAAGCCCTTGGAAAAGAGTTCTTTAGAGGGTTGCTAAACAGACAAGTTGTGCCAGGCTCAGGAAATCCCCTGAGCCAAAAATAATCGGGTGCCGGGTGAGTGGCAGGGGAAGCAGCGTGTGGGTATTGGTAGGGAAGGGTGGGTCATCAGCTGCACCGAAGCGTGGATGCTGAGCCGTTGTTCTTACTCCAGAATAGGCTCGATATATGAATATTCTCCTTTGCACAGCCAGGGCATTGTCATTGCTCACTCCTCTGTGTTTCCTCTCCTTCCAGGGGGACTTGAGCCATCCCCAGAGCCGAGGACCCTATTTCTCTGCAGGGCCAGTTAGCCATCCAAAGGGTGAGTGAATCTGGGGGTGTGCGGCTCCCACTGTCTCCCGGTCCATTCCTTTCTCTCATTTCCTGCTGCTGGCCAGCAGGCTCCAGCCCTTCTCACCCGCTCCCTGTCCCACCGCCTCCCTGTCTGGGCCATTCTGTTGCAATATCTCTAGCAAGGTGAGGTGTGTGCTTCATGTACCACGTTGTTCCTGGAGGCCAAAGCATACTGATACTCTTCTAATACTATCTTGCTCAAAACCTGGCCTTTTTAAAAGGTTCTTTTCCAGGATTTTTTTTTTTTTTTTTAATTGAAAAGTAATAGCAAAACAATTTCTGCAACTTCCCAGTTCCAGCTACCTCGATTCCTTGTCCATTTGCTCTGAAAGTTCATGTGTTATGCTTTAAAGCAAGCAGAAAGCTGGGCAACCAGACACATTCTGCTGCAAGTTTTTCTAGAGGATTACAGCTTAGAAGTGTTTCCTGAAACTGGCTTCTTAGTTTTTCCCTGTCAGCAGTTGTCTGGGAGGAATAGGGAAGGGTGGGGTGAGAGAGGAGGGGGAACGCAGTTGAGTGTGTGGTACAGTCTGTTGTCGCATGGAAGTGATGGGGCCAGTGAACAGTCCTTATGTAAACCTGCACCAAACCTGTGCCAAAACACAGAGTGAGCCCCTCCGGGGCAGCAAGCAGAATGCTGTCTACAATGTCCCCAAGCACATTGAGCTCTGCCCTTGGATTTTCAGTGCTACTGTGTCACAGCCATTCCTGTGGCAGCCGCTCTCTTCCTCTCGTTGTTCCACTGGGTCTGTGCTTTGGAGCATCTCTGCGCTCTCCATGCGCTTCTGACACAGTTGTGATTTCATTAGGATAATTGGAGAGCAGTTTGGGCTTTCCCACTTGATTTACTCTGCCTCTCCAAACATCTCTGCACATGGAAGCTCAGCTCGGCAGGGGAGCTGTCAGCTCTGACAGCCAAACACAAAGACCCGGCGGGGAACCAACGGCTTTCCCATCCAAAACCTACACACGGAGTTTTTTGTCTCCTGTTAAGACCCTGGATTGGAAGTCACTTGTCTGAATTTAGTTCCTGGCTTTGCCACTGATGATGAGATTGGGCCTGTCCCTTTGCATGGCTGTGCCGGTCTGTAGGATAAGGAGGATGGCGTTTCTGCACATCGACACTGACCGCTGCTCTAGCAGTGACTGGCTTGGTGGTTAGGGGTAAATACCTACATCTGTCCCTTGCATCACTGCAGCAGCAATTCCCTGCACAGGCAGCAATAAGCCAGGCTGCTGCTTCAGGAGATGGGGACACTGGTGGGTGCTGGGAGAGGCTGCGCCCCAGCACTGCCACTTTCTCTTCACCAGCAAGTAGCAGGTTGCACTGAAGCTTCCACAAGTCACCAAGTGGACCAGGCTGCTGTCGAATAACAGCATGGAGGTGTTTGAGAATCTTGGAGATGAGACACTGAGGGACATGGTCAGTGGACATGGTGGGAATGGGCTAAGGGTTGGATCTGGTGACCTTACTGGTCTTCTGCAGCCTTAATGATTCTGTGATCCTTTGTAATCCCACCCCGTTATCAGGCAGTAATGATGGAAAGTGAGATCTCACCACAAATTGCAAGCACATTACATCACCTGACAGCATGCTGGAGACATGGACGTGAGCAGCCCAAGTGCACTTGGTTTCATCTGCTGTTGAAAATTCCCTTTGCCAGCATATGCAGGTGTAAGCAGAAATTAAGGAAATCTGTTCTCATGCTCAGACCAAGATCAGAAATGCTGACTATCAGCTGGTGGCAAGTGCTACTTTCTGCATTGAGCATTCCTTGGGGGTAGGCTGCAGTGCTGTATTACAGATTGGTGATGTTTATAAGCTCCTGAGATAAGGGGCCTGCTAATCTTTCTGTTGAATGTTATCATTTTGATGGCCCACGATAGCTAGGACATGATTTCTTCATAGAGAATTGATTCAGAGAGAAAGCGCTTGGACAGCTGGTGTGTTATTGATGTTTATGCAGGTTGTTACTGTTTCTGGTAGCTTAATATAGCTGTTAGGCAGAGTTGTGATTCCCCAATGTTTTTCTTACAAAGTAAGTTGGCAACAAAGTACTTCACTGAACTTGCAATTCAAGAGGGTCAAGGAGGACTGCACAGTCAGAGCAGCGTACCACCAACAGCAGGTGATGTGCTGCTGCTGCTTTTATTAAATAAAGCCATCAGGCAGGGTGCAGTGTGAGCAGCTGAAGTGCAAACCAGGGAACTGAAAACTGGCAGCAGTTTTGGTGTGGAAGGCATCATCTCGTTTCCTTTGTCTTCCTGTCTGTTCTGGCCTGTGTGATGGTGTACCTGGGCACTGCCTGCTGCCATCTGCCCCTCTCCTGGCAAAGCACCAGTGGCTGAAGGCACAGCATTGCCTGTGGGATGTTGTCAGTGTGATGGCGAGGGAGGAGGAACAGGGACTTCAGAGGTTCTTTGTGGTCCCTGGTTAGAGGGGTTGTACTGCCAGATGTGTTCTGACATGAAACACTGCTGGGCACCATGTGGGGATGTATCTGTGCCTGCTCAAGCCCTTGTGCAAAGCTATTTCGTGCATGCTGATGAACTTCTAATGGAGGACAGTTGTTGCTTCTCCAAAGCAGGGTCACCGCTTGCAACTGTTGTGACATCTTTGGCATCCCTCTCTCTTTTCATCTGGGGGCCGCATTGTCTGAGCTTGTGAGTATGAAGCCAGCAAGCTGACAGCTAAACACACTGTCTTAGATTTGCAGCCCACTTCTTTGTTAATTTAAAAAGCAGCAAGTAAATGAAAACAAAACACTGTGGATAGGCTGTGATTCATACCAGAGCATCAGCTTGCCAGCCTCATTTTCCTCCTGTCTTCCAGACTGGGCAGGTCACTGAGAACGTCAGCATTTTGACCCTTGAAAGGAAACATGAGGTGTCATTTTAAACTGCTGGAGAAGTTCATTCAGCCCCTTCAGAGGCTTTGTTTTGCAACACTGGCGACAGTGTTGCGTATGAGCAAATGAAGGAATCCAGGTAGTCACAAGAGTGAGCCAGCGCGGTTTGCCTTGTCAAAGTGGAGTTTTGGTCTAATCATTCCTCAGTTCTTGTGGACAGGGCTTTTGGAAGAAAGGATGTGCAGTGTGAGTGCTATTCAAAGATATTTGCAGAGGTGGAACTGATAACTTATGTCATTAAATGGACTCCCTGTTGACAAGTAGAGTGTAATAGTTCAGCAATAAACAGTATTTCTAAAATCTCTACCATGGTTGGCTCCTGTAGCAGTGCTGTGCAAAAGTCTGTCTCTTGGCTTGTTTACTTGGATGGTGTCCATCTAAGGTAAACAACAAAGCAATGGGTTGAAAGGAAGGAAGCAGAGAAAGCTCCTCCAGTGAGATCCTGTTTGAAGGATGTGAGAGCCTTCTTCCCAATGAATGCATTGGAAATCCACTTCATATCCCTTTTGCTTGACACCTAACATGATGAGATGTCAGGAGTGGGCCAAGCCTCTTGAGTCCCTCATCTCTGCTCGTGCCAGATGATTTTCTAGAGATTTCTCTGTGCTGTCCCAGCTTTGCACTGAATTCAGCTGTGATCATCAGAGTCAGGTCCCCAGAACTACCTTTCCTTCTGCTGATACAGCTCCCTGCTTAAGAAGAGGGGCTGTGCAGGACATCAGGTCATTCTCTGCAGAAAAGCAGAGACTTAGCTGGGGCCTTGAGGAGCATCCATAGCCTCCAGGCTTTAGATCTGAAAGTGCTGATCAGTCTCTTCACTGGGAAAGCTTGCACCAAGCACCTCGGTCATTGCTCCTGCAGTCAAAGTCTGGGTGCTGCCCAGCACACACAGCACAGGATTTACAGGGCTGTGCCATCTGCCTGCAGCACAGTCTCCATCCCCTCCATACATGCAGAGATGGGATGTGAGTGCCTGCTGGGAGCCGGGCTGGGGTGAGGCGCTTGCTCTCCCTGCTTCCCCAGTGAGGCTGGCAGATGGTTCTTGTTTCCTGAAGCTGTGTGGCTCCTGCTGCCTGGGAAATCCACAGCGTCAGGGGAGGACTCATGGGCTACTGGGCTGGGAGCAGCTGCACTGCCAGGCGGAAGCACTCAGCTTTCCTAGACAGCTTTGAATGGGAGCCAGGAGCCCTCTCTCTACAAGAGAAAATCCACGAGGTCAGGAAATACAGCAGCAGCTCCAGCTCAATGCTAGGGCTGTTGGCTTGGCACTCGGACCCCAGCCCTCCTCTTCCCAGATGGTGCTTCTGAACAGCTCCCGGTCATGGCATCCTGCTGAGCTTTTTGTTGGACTGCCTGGCTCAACTTCCTGGGGATCTGGCTGCTGGGAACAATGCTGGGCGCTGCAGAGGTGATGCATTTGGGTAGGAGGAGAAAACACAAGGGAGCAACCTGGTTAGTCCTGCAGACTGCTGCTCTTGCTTAGCGTAGGACTGGGAGGCTGTGCTTTTGTGTTTTCCTCTGTTATTTTTTGGTCAGTTCTGTTTGGGCTCTACTTCAGCTGCTGAGAAATGCAAACTTGTTTTTCCTCCTCTGCAAATTCTCACATCAGAAAAAGCTTTCACAGCAGTCGCCAGGCTGCACGTCTTCATCCGGTGCATCCAACACTAGTGTGGGATGATGGAGAATGTCTGCTACCATCTCTCATCACTGCCAGCATCCTCTGGGTGTGGTGGGAGTCAGTGAATGCTAAAGCTGCAGAGTTCTTGTATGTAAACTTGTATGTAAACTTTGTTTTGTAGGAGGGGCATTTTTTGTTGCATGCACACACTTCAGCTTGCTCAGTGCTGCCTTGACCTTTAACTCAATAGAAAATTTCCCTGCAGATAAGTTGAAACCAGGCACTTTCAGAAGGACAGAACTTCCCACTGCAGTTAAAGATCATGGCAGTTACATCTGCAGTTTCAGTTGTCCCATCCACTTGCACAACATACAAAAAAGAAGGCTGTGACTGTTGGGTGGTGAGATGACTTTCAGGCTTGCTGTTCAGCAAAACTACCTGGGAGCTGCTCCCACAAAAAAAGGGATTGGAGAACTCTTAAGCTGGAAACCTCTCTTGGCTTTTAGAGCCTGACCCTCTGCCACATGGTGCTGTATGGCTCCTGACAAGTCTCTTCCCTGGCGTCAAGAACACAGATCCATCAGACTTCTCTGGGAAGGCATGGACCTGTGGTATCTCTTCATTTGCACCTTATTTTCTCCCAAGCTTCTCTAGCAGAGAAGGGAATCAGTGTGGGACCAGAGGTCTGGTATGCTCTGCTCTCTCTTTTGCAGCCATTTCCTTGCTTTTCTCCAAGATCTCCAGTGCAGGAAAGGACATGATCTTTGCCTTCCTGCCACTGAGATAGCAGCTGAGAAGAGGGCTTTGGCAGGCAGTGGCTGTGTCTGACTGCCCCAGCCCCAGTGGGTGATTGAACTGTCTGAGTGGTTTAAGGTTGCAGTCAGATGGGGATTGAAGTCAGAAAGTTCTGCCCTACTTTAGATTAGATCTTTGCTACATTAGCAAATTCAGTAGCTGCAGACATGGGCTAGATGCAGAGTGCCCATTGCAGGAACACCACGTACCAACTACCTGAACAAAGCTCATCTTCCAGGAGATGCAGCAGCTCCTGCCAGCATTATCACACTGCTAGGCATCATCTGATGTGAAATACTGTGCTCCCAGAGCTCCCAGCTGAGCAAGTGGCCTCTTTCTGAGTGCTTAGTGCTGCTCAAAAGGCCGTGCCCCTTCCTGGTTATTTGCTTTACCAGCAATATGACTAGAGATGGCCAGGAACCACCCTTCAGCCTTAATGTTTTTAGATGCGCTTTCTTCAAATTTCCCTGCTGGGTTTTGAGCTGCTAGGATCCTGCTCTTCACAGCCTTTCCCAGAGCAGTTAAAACTCTGTTTCTCTTTCCATTTGAACTTGCAAGATACATCTCTTTGTAATGGTTGGTAAGTTCAGGGGGATTTCTGTTCAAGCCTTCAGGGTTTTGTAATAGTCCTCCGGTAAGCTTCATGTTGAAGTTCCTCTTTCTCAGTAGAAGAGGAGCTGAAATTCAAAGGTTTATTTCTCATTTACACAACCTTTTCTTTGGTCTCCTTACCTACAAGATATCTGTCTTATCTCCCATGCATCGTGTCACATGCAGGATGCATCCAGACTCAGCCTGAAGGACTGCAGAGTGTCAGAGTTACACGTTGGGCGCAGTTTTGTATTCAGTTTCGTATTGATTTCTTTTGCTGCTTTGAAGTAACCTTTGCTGCTGGTGGAGGGTATTAGGTGAAATAGCTCTGGATGCTGCAGTTCTTTGCTGTAATTTTAGAGCAAGCTTCATAGTTTAGGTGAGGTCATCTCACATTTGAGACCCCAGAGAATGGGATCATAGAAAGCAGTGCATTCTGGAGGCACAGTGCAGGGCAACAGAGTGAAATAAATATCATTTTATCTGCTTTCCAGGGTAGTCAGTGTACTGGAGGAGGAACATACAAAAAGTCCTTGACCCTTGGGTCATCCCACCATCTCTGTCTCTGACCACATTTTGCAAGAGGGTACGTCTGTGAGCTTGGGCTGGGAGGCCAGAGCAGTACTGGAGCAGAATACCTCACAGGAAGAATTTAATAGCTAGAGCAAATTTGTGTTTCAAGTACATGGATGCCCATCTTTCTGCCTTTCCCAGCCACTGGTTTGTGCTCCTCACTCTCCTAACGTGGTGGCTGTATTTCTCCCTGCAGGTGGTGGTGCTCCTGGAGGCCCTGAGCTGGGGTCAGCTGGAAGATGACCGAGTACAAGCTGGTAGTAGTGGGAGCTGGAGGCGTTGGGAAGAGCGCTTTGACAATACAGCTCATTCAGAATCATTTTGTTGATGAGTACGACCCCACAATAGAGGTAAGCAGCTCTGTCTATTTGTTTTGCTATTTCTTTTTTGCACTTTGCTGCAAACCTGAAGCGTGCTCGGCTTGGACTCAGGACTGAACCTGGTCAGGAATCTTCCTTTGCTTCATAAAGCTGCTCCAAGTTGCTGCTATGTGAATTTGGAGGTCACGGTGTCCGACTTGTGTCTCCTGAGGAAGGACAGTATTGTCTGCTGGAGATAGATAGCACAGCATGCATAGAAGCAGGCACAGCCTCAAGGGGCTGATGGGCAGCACAGAGCTCCTCCTTTCTGAAGAGGCGGTTGCATAGAGAGCTGGTAAAGACTTGAGACTGCACAGCCATTTTGCTCCTGTGCTTCCATTTCTCCTTGAGTGCAAAGTAAGGATGCTGACCTCCTGTGCATGATGTTTTGAGATTTACTGATGAAATAGGTTTTATCAGAGCTCTGATGACCTCTGTATTCCTGCATGGTGAGATAGGTCAGGAGTCCAAACAGAGGTAAGGACTGCTGAATTTCTTTTAAGAGGCACTCCCTTGTTTCTGCAGAGCAGGGAGCTCATGGATTTTCTTCAGGCCACCTAACGCTTGGTTATGGATTAGCTCTGCAGGAGGAAGACAAAATGCTGTGGTTCTTCCCTAGGGCTTGCAGACCTCATGAAATAGCTCTGGGAAAGGAAAACAGGGAGTGCTTTTTTGTGGTTTGCCTTGAGTTCCAGGTCTCTGTCCTCCTCTAGAGCATGGCAAGTTCATCCTCCAGCAGGAAACAGAGAAGAGAGATTGTGCTGGCAAGGTCAGTTTTGCACATCCTCCATTGTAAGGAGTGAGAAATGGATCTCTTGAGACAGCATGGCTCTGCTATGTCCTGTGCCTACCTGGAGAATCAGCCAAATGCCTCTGTAACACAATGGGAAGCACAGCAATAACAGCAGAGTAGCATGGCCCTAGCTTGCAGCAAGTGAGCACTTGTTCAAGTGCTGTTGTCATTGACACAGAAATAAAGGAAAAAACTACTTACCATCAGAAAGCCTCAGATATATAGGGATCTCCAGCAAGATCCCCTTGCCTCCACTGCTGACCCTTAAAAGAAATCTGGGAAGGGGTGGATCCTGGCTGCCCCCCTTCCAATCACTCAGGTACATTGCATACACCTGAGCTCCCCTGGGTTGGCCCTGCCTGCCCACCAGGTGCCCCATCACTGGTTCAAACTGTGACTTAGCATTTCCTTACTGTGACTTAGCATTTCCTTTACAGCCTGTGCTTCTATTGGCTGCGCAGAAGGGGCTCAGTGCTCAGAATCCAATTTTCTACATTACAAACATAAGCAACAAAGATTTTTTTCTCTTTACCTTTTTAAAACATAGTCAATTATCAAACTGATTTCACTGTTCCATCGCTGCTGGAGTGATGCTAATTACCCACTGCGTGACTTACTCCTCGTTCTGGGAGAGATCTGCATGGTGCTTGCTTGCATTTTGGCTCCTGGCCGCTCCTGCCCTGCTCTGTATGAGGAGTAGATTCCCCTGGGAATGCAACTCACAGCTCTGTCACGCCTCTCAGACAATAACCTCCCTGCCTGCAGTCCTGGAGGAGTCTCTACCAGATGTGTATAAATACAGCTGTGGTTACTGCAGTTGTTATTATTATCATAATGCTTAAAAGGTCCCCGCTGGGGTCAGAAATCTATTCTGGTAAGTGTTGTATGTGCAGTCCCCACCCTGAAGAGCTCACCACTTAAATAAACAAGAGAGGCAAGGCTCGGTAGAAGGGCTGAAGTGGTCTTATTATCCTACAGATGGGAAGGAGAAAAGCACTTAAAGGCACATGCTATTACGTCATTTGGCAAGGTCACCTAGAGAGCCCATAGTGGAGCCTGGAATTTATTTTAAGGCTCCTGAGTCTCAGTGTTGCACCTTGCTTAAGGAGCCAGCTGCCTTCTTCCCCTCTCCTCTCCCCTCCTGTGTTCTTCACCTGTAATCATGTCAGTCCACTGCGTTCTATTTTGATGTCCCTCCTGCCTCCTCCTGCTGCAGATTTGCAGACCTGAACCCCCCCCCCCTCCACCACCAAGAGATGACTGGGACGTGACCGGCTCTGCCTTCCTGTGCGGCTTCTGCTCAGCGAGAGCTACACACCCATCTCCTGGGGTGGGACAGCTGTTTGGGTGACTCTGCTGCTTTCTTAGAGAGATGTGCCAAGTGGCTGTGGGCAGAAGAGCTGCTGGTGGAGGGGCACCTCCCTGGGAGCCATCAGTGCTCGGTTTTGGGGAGCAGTGGGAGAGGTGGGAAGGTCCCTCTGCTACCTCACACCTGGGGTGGGCAGGCGCAGCTCTGACCCAGTGATGTGCTGGGATTCAGCCTCTTCTGTGTGCCTCCAGCTGTACGTACCCTGCAGGGAATTTAGTCCATGTAAACATGCCACAGGAATGTAAACCTTGCGTAGAGTTTCACAGCATGCCCTACCCACTCATGCCGTGCTGGGGACATCTGGCTCTTTCATGTTTCTCACACTGCCATGGGGGGACTGCAGCTCCAAGCTGGTGCCCAACCCTGCCTTCCCCTCTCACTTGTTATCAGCCAGAGGACCTGATCCTATCTCCTCTCCTCTCCTCTCCTCTCCTCTCCTCTCCTCTCCTCTCCTCTCCTCTCCTCTCCTCTCATCTCCTCTCTTCCTCTCTCCCCTCCCTTCCCCTCCCCACTGCTCCATCAGTGCAAGCATCCAACTGTGCACACAGGGCCCTAAAGAGGAGTAGTATGCACAGAAGAAGAGGAGGGTGACAGGAGAAGTAGAGGGCAGGGCTGGGCAGCAGGGGAAGGAGGTGTTGCAAATGGGATGTGGAAGGAGGGCATGCAGACCCAGATGAAGTGAGGTGGCTGCAGGGAAGACTGGGGGGGTACTGGGGATATGCCTGCATGGCCTCCTGCTGCCATGGTGTAGCGCTGATGTTCTGGCTGTCCCCTGCTCCCATGGGCAGCCCCAGTGTCCTGTCTCAATGCCTGCAATCCCTGGCTCACATTTTAACACTGTGCCCATTCAAATCAATCTGCTGGAAAATGATCTGCCGGATCTCCAGTCCAGCAAGGGGAGTGGGGTGCCAGCATCCTCAGGACAGTGTGGGGTCACTTCTCTACGTCTGCTGTCTGGCTGTGAGACCTCTGTAAGTGGGGACTTGTCGATTACACGTGAACATGTGCACTGGGACACTCGTCCTCTGGATGTGAGCCGGGGCTTAGGGAGGGGAGGGAGTAGTGGCGGATGTGTGTAGCAGACAGACACGCACGGTCTGCCCTCTGTAGCGCTGCCCTGCACTGGGGAGGTGGCTGCAAGTGGTGGTGGAGGGAACACTTCATTACAGACAGGTTAATGAGAATTGTGTGGCATGCTGCCCGATCCCAGAGCTGCTAGGGCTTCCTGTGTAGATAGAAGTGCGGTGGCAAAGGATGGGGTAATTGCCTGCTGAGAAGGTCAGAGCGGAGCAGATCTCATCTTGGCTGATTTCAGGGTGCTCTTTGCAAGGAGGAGAAAGGCTTTAATGAGTCCCAGAGGCTGGTGTTTGTGTGGCAGTGAACAAAGGGCAGAATCCATGCTCTCTTCCTGCACCGCTGCCAGTCTGTTAGTGACCTTTGCCGTGTCTGTTGTCATCTTCGGGGCCATTTGTTAGGGGCAAAGCTCATCTGATAACATTGTCACTGCTCTGTCACATCACACCTGTGCATTTTTCACAGCTTCGTTTTCAGCTTCATCCTCTGGCTGGGAGTTGGAGTCACCATGTTGTACCCGATGTATGGCTGCTGGGAGCTGTGTTTGGGAGACCTCTGGGGAAGAGCCTGGGAAAGCATTCTCGGGTGCTTTCTGGGTCTCCTCGCATGTGTGATAAGTTGTAATCATCTCACCGCAGAGAAAAGCACAGCTTCAAAGACCTGCCATGGTGCTCCTCACCCTTCCCAGAGCCCCTCTGGGCACAGACTGGCTGTGGGAAACACCCTCTTGCAGCCTGCTTTGTTTTTTTTGTGTTCAAATGACAACAAGAGGTTCACCATCACGCCCAGTTTGCCCCCTCTCCGGTTGCGACTGCCCTCAGTGCCCACCCCATGTCAGGGATGCTGCAATTCCAGTTAGTGTTAAGCATCTGCTGGCCCCAGAGATCACACTGGTGGCTGCCAGCAGCCTCCCTTTGTGTGTGCCCTCTTCCAGCTCCTCAGAATGGGATGCAGTGCCTAGAGCTGTAAGACCAGGTGCCTTCCCAGCCTTCCCAGCACCCAGCAGCACTGCTTGCATGTAGCAAGACTCCATAAGGCCTCCTGGCTGACCTTCTCTCTGTCCCTTGGCAGGATTCCTACAGAAAGCAAGTCGTCATCGATGGAGAGACCTGTTTGCTGGACATCCTGGATACAGCAGGACAAGAGGAGTACAGTGCCATGCGAGACCAGTACATGAGAACGGGGGAAGGATTCCTGTGCGTCTTTGCCATTAACAACACCAAGTCCTTTGAGGACATCCACCAGTACAGGTGAGCATCTCTGCAGCTTCCACCCTGCCTTCCCTCTTCGATCAGTGCTGCCCACACAGACAATTAGTGTGAGCAGCTGCCCCCCAGGGAAGAGGCCCGGCAGACGGCTGATGTCAGTGACTCCGATAAAACCCATCCAGAGGGATTGCTCGTGGCCCCTGGGGACTCGGTAATGTAATGTTTAAGTGTTTATGGTGACTAAAGGGAGAGATGATCCTTTACGACCCCCTCCCTTCCCTCTCTAATTAATGGAATTGCTTTGCTACTGAAATTGATCTCAGCAACTTCTGCTCTGCAAAAGATGCATGGGATGGCTCGCAGGCATCAACCTGCCTGCTTTGAGGAGCTGTATGAAAACGTGCCTCTGGGCTACTGCTTCCTCTGCCTTCTGAAGGACTGCGTGCCCCATCAGTAAAGCTTGCCAACAACTCCACCAGCGTGTGGTATCCCATTTCACCCCACCAATCACCCCAAGCCCTGCCCAGATTGCAGCAGCCCCCGCTATTCCAGTCCTGCCTTGACAGATGCCTGGAGCCAGCCCGAGGGGCTGAGAGCAGTGTAGGAAATGACTCACGGCAGCTTCCGCCCGTGCCTGCTTCCCTGCCACCTGAGCCAGCCCTGTCCGGTGCCTGGAGCTGAATGGCAGAGGTGGGGAACAGGGATCTCATCCGGAGGTTGACAGGCAGCAGTGGTGCTGCAAGCACGGCTCCCAAGGCATCCTGCATCTCCCAGCACAGACACAGCCCTGCCTTACTCAGAGCTGACAGGCGTGTTCGGCACGGTAACTGCGTGCGTTGGGCTAATTTGGCTTGTTCAAGCTGAACTGTAGGACAAAGGATGGGATTTTCCTGAAGCACCTAAGAGATTTTGTAGCCCCAGCCTTGTGCTGGGGCTGGTGCCTGTGAATCACTCAGAAGATGGCTCGATTTCAAGCCCCGGTTTTAATCATGATGTAAATCACCAGCTTTAATCTCATTCCACATGTGCTCTTTGCATTTGCACTTTTAGAGTGATTTTCCCCAGAGAAACACTCACTCTCACTGGTTCGGGGCCATTAGGAGGTATCTCTTTTCAGCTAAGTGTAGCACTGTGCACTAAATTTAGTGCTGGGGTCTGCCGGTCAGGATGTTACATCGAACATCTAAGTGGCTTTATGGCATATCCAACATATATTCAGACCTCATTTCTAGGTTCTACTGTATTAAAAAAAGATGATTGTGGGGTTTTTGTTGTTTTTTTTTGACTCTGTGATGCATGTCCAGGTGCTTTGGGATGAAAATTTGAATTCAAGTAAAACATAGAAAGCATCACCTTAAAAAAAAAAAACCAAAAAAAGTGCTTAGATTGGTTAAATAAAACCACATTAATTGTTCTGGTTACATAAGCAAAAAAAGCTGTTCTGCGTCCCAAGTTAAGTGATGTATTAAACAAAGGAAGTTATTATCTGTCATGGGGGAACACAGTGCATTGTTTGTGGTCGTAATGGCCTTAAGATTATAGAAGCAGTAGATCTCATCCTCACCCACCTCCTTCCAAATCAGAGTTGGAATGGAGAACTGTTACTACTTCTTTGGTTCCCAGTTGGTTTCTCAACTTTGAGTGAACTGAACCAAGCTGAAATGAAGCAGATATTGTCTGTGCATCTGCAGGAAAGGCTGCAGCTGCCAAACGCTGCTCTGTCAGCTCAGCAGACTCTGCTTGCAGGTGTTTTCCTGGTGACTTTCACCCACTCGGGGCTCAGTTGGTCTAAAACATTTGTAGTACACAGGTAGCTGATGGAGTGTTATGCTCTGGTTGACTTGGGCCATACTAGGAGGCTGTCTTCGTGCAGACTGCCATAACTGCAAGCTGAATTTAGCAAACAGCTGCATTTAAAAGGCAGAAGTGTGTTTAGTTTTCTTTTCCAAAGGTGCCCTAGCTATTGGGAGTTCACTTGCTTACGTGCCGTGCTTGCACACATGCTTCTGGAAGCCCTGCACTGGGTGTGTTGTAGCACAGCAGCTCCCGGTGAAGAAGTGACCTTCCCTCTGCGCTGGTGCCCTTCCTCCCTTCACTTTGGCATCTCCTCTTCTGGCAGGGAGCAGATCAAGAGGGTGAAAGACTCAGATGATGTTCCCATGGTGCTGGTGGGAAATAAATGTGACCTGCCAGCACGGACAGTGGAGACCCGGCAAGCGCAGGACCTGGCCCGGAGTTATGGGATCCCCTACATAGAAACGTCGGCCAAAACCAGACAGGTAGGGGGAGAGACATTAGGGCTTTAGGGCCTGGGAGTGGGGAATGTTGCCCAGACCCAGGACGGGGGGAGCTTGATGAGCCACGGCCTCCCTGATGGACAGAGGCGGGACTGCCATGCTGACTGTGTGCTGGGCTGCCAGGCGAGCAGTGCTCCAGCTGCTCATTACCCAGCGTGCGGTAAGTCTCTCTGACAGCTTCGGCACGGCAGCAAGCTGGGAAGGGAGCATGAATTAGAGCACGCCAGCACAGGCACTGATTTACCACCGTCAGGATGCTGGGAATGAAGCTGCCAGAAAGCCCAGCTCCAAGCTGACTGCAGCCTTGCCTTGTGTGCAAGCTGTGATCGATGTCCCGAGTTCAGTTATGGCACTGGGAGATAAATCCAGGTGGCACGATCCCCAGCCTGGCCCCAGGCTGCTGTCGGTCCGTGCTGCCTGAAGGCAGTGCTGGGGCTCCTCACCGGTGGGCAGAGCCATCGCTTCTCCATGCTGCCCTGCCCTGCTTGGAGCAAAGCACTGTGTGTTTCTTGCAGGGCGTTGAAGATGCCTTCTATACCTTAGTGCGGGAGATCCGTCAGCATAAACTGCGCAAGCTGAACCCACCAGATGAGAGTGGCCCTGGCTGCATGAACTGTAAATGCGTGATATCGTGACTATGGTGAGTTTTGGGAGCAGGAGATGGGGTGTACAGAAAGCAAGGTGGGGTAGATCATCTGCAAACATGTATCAGAAACAACTTCAGTGATGGCTATTTCTTAATTAAAATGTTGACTGAAATAGCATCTTCTGTCAAAACAGAAGGTAAGTCAGGTTTTCCCACTTTCCTGAGGAAATGTGTGGGAGGAAGGGATTTTTTTTATTTTTTCCCCTCATTCAGCGGAACAAAATCCTGCAGAGCACTGAAAGAAATGCATGTTTTGTCATGCCGTCCCCAGGGAAGCTCCTTCCCGTGCTGGAGAGGAGTGGTGCTGGTGCTCCAGGTGTGCAGCTCACCACGTGTTCCAGCCTGGCCTTAAGAGCAGCTCAGAGGAAGAGCTGTGAGCACATTGCCTCCTACTGCACTGCATCAACTGTGCTGTCCTACAGCTCTAGAGCAGATACATGTGACTATGAAAGCCCTCTGTTCAACAGAAGAGTTTTCCTGTTAGATACATCCCCCAGGATATTTGAAACTGATGCAATGTTGAGAATTAGACATCAGGGAGCTGTTTTGCTTTTGTAAATTGTGCGGGTTGGAGCCAAAAAGTGTTTTGCAGATTGCCTGCGTTCACTTGCCTATTATTCTTTTCCTTCCTTTTTTTTTAAATTTTTTTATTTTTAATGATGTATGTATTCAAGTCATGGCAATCCTGTTGGATAGCAGGGAGGGAGAGCTGCTATTGATTAGACTGGGTTAGGTGGCCCTGGGCCAGGATGCCCATGTGGTTGGCTTCCACATTAAGGGGACGTCTGTCTGCACTTCTTTGGAAAGGAGGAGATGGGCAGCCAGGGCTGAGTGCACCAGGGCCACGTATAAGGAGCACCTGAAGGCTGTGTCCTAGAGACAGGGACTGTGAGAAAAGCCTGCATGGCCATTGTCCATGGAGTGATGCCATTTGGGGAGTATCCCAAATGTGGGATTAGTGTCCCTTCACACAACTGCTGGAGTCCTAAAGCGACAGCCTGTGTTCCACAGCCTGCGAGCATCCCACTGAGCAAGGAGGTGGGCAGCTGTTTTTCCTTCACTGCTTTTGGAGGCAAAAGGCCACGAGTGTAGCAGAGTTCTTTTCAAAACAAGCGGCACTGGCAGTGTTTGCTTCCTATGGGCTGAGCACTCCGCCCCTATGCTCCCCCAGGCCGGCCAGCTGGGGGCTGCGGGGCTGTGCTGTGCCTAGCTTGCTTATCGCTGCAGAGGGAGGCTTCCAGATGTTCAGGACATCCAGATGTTCTGTGGCGTTTCCTCCGGATGGGGATGTGAGCGTGGAGCTCGTTTCCTGCTCTGGCTCACAGCTGACAGCGTGTGGGGACGCACGGGCTGGGCTGAGTCCCCATGCAAGGACTGCCAGGAGCTGGTCCCCATCACCACGAGGGTGGCCAGCACCAGCATCCTCATCTAAAGAGAGGCTGGCTATGGGAAGGAGGGGCTTGTTCTCTGCTAATAGAGTGAGTTGCCCGTGTCTTTTTCTGCTGCCTGGCTGTGGGTGATTCCTAGAGGGGTAGAGGAGAAGATGTAAATACACACAGAGACGCACTGGCATCTTTAAATGCTTCTGTGAATTGCACAGCTTGTAGCAGATCCCCCCATGTAGGCAGGAGAGAAGGGTTGAGACCGGAAGGTTTGCATTTTGCTGCTGGGGCTCCTGCCGTAGAGCAATGTATAGCCCTTTTCTTAGGGCACTGCAGCCCCAAGAGGTGACTCCAGCAAACAGGCAATGCCAGAAAGTAGAAAACAGATAGCAAACGCAGGGTTGTCCCAAAGCATGAGGGTTGGCAGTGGCTACAACTGGTTCTGAGAGCAAGTGGGTGCTAACAGGTCTTCTCCCTCTTGTTTCAGCTGACTGGACCCTGACTTGGAGAGATGTCCATGTGCAGAGCACAAGGAAAGAGGTGATGCGAAGGAAGAAACAAATGGATTCAGGGGAGGAGTGGAGGGGGAGGGAGAGAGGAGGAAGAGGACGGGAGGAGTGCCAGCCCCTCCAAGGACTATCTCGCACTTCACCCAGGCCGGCAGCAGACGACTTTCGGTTCTTTCCCCATCCCCTCCTCCTTTGGCCTCCTCCCACCCCGGCAACTGTACAAAGCTACAGATTGAATCACAGTAAATTATTATTTGATGGTCTCGACAAACCGTTTTGATGGCTTGTCCAGAGCTTGCTGCGAATGGTGGCTCTGGGAGGATCACAGGGAACAGGAGAGTGGGAGGGGAGATTCTTGGGTTTCATCTCTGGGTGAACCATCACTGTGCTGCAGACCATAAAGGCAACAGAGTTGGGCCGGTGATTTCAACATGGGTGCGAGGCAAATCTCTGTGAAGCAGCTGTGAGCCCACATGTTGTTTCCTGGAGCCGAGTACAGTTTCAAGAGGTCTTGAGGTGGTTAAAGGCCATCTGTTGGCCTCTGTGGGAAGAATCTTGTGCAGGTATCCCTACGTAGTGCCAATGAACAGTCAGAAAGGAAGCAGAGATGGGTGCTGTGCCCTGCAGATTGGCGGCCAATGGGCTGCAGGGTGCCAAAGGCAGCAGTTGTGATTGCATGAGGCCTCGCTTATTTTCACATCCAGGGATTTGTCCTTTAGGCAAAAAAGTTCTGCTGCACACTGTTGTTGTCACACACGCTTGCTTAATTAGCACCGAAACCCACTGCTGGCCCCCAAGTTTTGGTTGGGTAGCAGAGTGCAACCAGCCTGAGCCTGTCCTCAGCAGTGCCCTGGGCAATTTGCCTTTGCCCCAGACCGTGTGGGATTGTTACAAGCTCAGATGTGATGCCTTGAAGCATCAGGGAGGAGCCGAGAGCTGCATTTAGAACTGGTGCCAGATGGGTGCTTCCTGGATTTTTCTGCCCTGAGCAGCACTTCAAGCAGGGTAGGAGCAGAGGATGTCTTCTTGATCTACTCAGCTTTGTATGGTAGTGTAGGGTTTTGAAAAGGCAGCAGTAGTTGGCCAAGGCACTTTGCTTGGCTGCTCGCAGCCTTGCCCAGCAGCAGGAAGCTGTCTTTCTGGCACAAAGTGCTCATGTGTTCTGGAGGCAGAATTCACCCTTCTTCCCTGCAGCACCTGGCTGACACTAACACCTGCTTATTGTAAACACCTTGGGCTGCTCCTGGCTATCAGCAGGGTATAATCGGTCACCAAACCTGTCTGTCCCTTGGAGGCTGGTGCACGGGCCTCCCTGTGGGCATACCTGCCATCAGCCATTGTGAGCACATCTGTGCAATGGGCCAGTGCCATTTCTCCAGCACAGGCCATGTTGTTGTGCAGGCTGATGGGACTTGTGTCTGTGCTAGCAGACGCCAGGGAGAGCACCAAAGGAGGGAGGTGATCCCGGTGGTAGAGAACCATCCTGCATGGACTAGCCCAGACCTGAAGAGGTGTAAGTGGTCAAGGAGGCAGAGCCTGGGAGCGGCAGGGGCAGAGCATGAGTCACATCCCTCATGTAGTGAAATGGGTACAGGAACCCTTCTGCCCTGCAGTACACAGCCGTGGCCCACCAGCAGCATCCCTGTAAGCTGCCTCTCACCTCCCTGCCTGTGCTCTGCTGTGTTGTGCAGTGATAGAAACAAAAAACTAATGCTGCTTGGCATCGATCTTTGCTTTCGGCCTGGGCAAGAACTGACTTGCACTAAGAGCTTGCTTTCCAGACTGTCTGCTGCAAAGTGCCATGTCAGCAGGTTCTTGCACACAAGCCACAGTTGCAAGGGATGTGCTAGAGCAGTAGCAGCCAGAACACAAAATCCTTCAGCAGTTTGGCTGGGAGCAAGGAGCCACAGTATGAGCACCTCTCTTTCAGAGAGGTTTCTGCATCCTTTAGGGTCAAGTTTTCTTGCTCAAAAAGGCTCTGGGTCTGAGCAATACACCTGTTACCTGAGTTTGCTCAAGTGTCTTCTAGTTGCAAAACAAAATTCTATGCTGAAAATCGGAGATGATAGGTTGGGAGCAAAAGGAGGTGCTAAAAGCTTGACACAGCAGCCCTTCCCCTCGAATTATGCATTGAGAGATTGCTGTTTAATGCAGTAGCACATCTTTGTTCCAGGACATTGGCTTTAAGCTGAGGAAGGCCAGTCTCAGGGCAATCATGGCAGCTTTACAGTGTGGCAGTGAGATTAAGGTAGGCAAAAACCAACTGCTTCTCTCAGTTGCTTTGGACTTGGTATTTTGACTGGCTGCCTTGGTGCTTGTGGTCTAAATGCAGGAGAGCATCTTGCTGGTCATGACAGGCAGAGCAGCTATAAAGGATGTTAGCATTCACAAGTTTGCATATTGAGTATGAGTTGAATACTGTCCATTCAGTAGCTGAATTTCTTGAGTCTGAAAGTGGTATCAGGGTTACACAGTTCCGTTACAGTGACTGCAAGGCTACAGAAGGAATTACTACGGTCGGAGTTGATTTAAGAATTTCCTTGTAGGCACTGTACATTCTGGACCGTAAGATGTGGTTTTGAGATATTCCAATAACTCAGTTTCCCTTATGGCAAGGAGTTTGTTGCCCCTCTCTGTTCTGATGCTGTGGCGTGAGCTTAGGCGAGTGGAACAGGCACAGTTCTTTGAAGAGCTGCTCATTGTATAGCCAGAAGGTGTCCTAAGTACTCAGAAAGTGCATTTTGCTATAGTTGGGCACACCTGCTCCCATTTGGCTGCCACGATCTCTTTAGCTGGCTATGGCAAGGCTGGACTACACCTGGTGCTGTGATGTTCACCTTGGGCAAGTACAAACACTGTGACCAAGAAGGTTTCAGGCAACATCACACCAATTACCTGCTGAGGTTGCATCTCCTATGCTGGAAGAGGGCCTTCTTTGAAGCTTTATCTCTGTTCTGCTCAGGTTCACCTCTCAGAATGGACAAATAAACTTTTCTCTCCTGCACCATTCAAGAATCTCACACCCTATTAGAGAGAGATGAGAGTTCAGAGAGATCACAGCTGAATTAACTGATGTAATTGCTTACAAGCTCTTAAAAATGCTGATGGAGTGCTGGAATGAGTCTCATGCCTTTTTTGGTCTGTAGCTGCAACAGAAGCACTTTCCTAAACCAACAAGAGATGGTAACTTCAAAACAGAGGAGTTCCTGGTGTTTGCTGAAAGTTCTGACATTGTCTGGGTTGAGCTGAGTTTGCAGAAGCTGGCATGGGAACTGGACGGTGTTTAAGGCCCCTTCCAATCCAAGCCATCCTATAGCTCCATGTTTCTGTGATTATATGTCTATGAGTTCAGTGGGACAAGCACGACAGTGCTTGACTCCTGGGTAAATGTGTGAGCCAGAAGATGCTGGCAAGAGGTGGCAGCGCCACCCCTCTGCTGTGGCCAGGAAGTTACAATCCAATGGGGGACCACGGATGCCACTATGCAACTCCTAGGTCTGTTTTTCAGTGACCAAGTGAGCTGGTGCAGAGAAACAAAGCTCTGCCTACCACATGGCTTAAGGCCCAGCATGACCCTGGGGAAAGCCCTGTGCTTCTGAGAAAAGCCAGTGAGCCATCAAACTTCCTGTGCTGCTCTTAGCCTTCTCTTGTTGGTGTAGCTTTAGATTTGCAGTGGAGGAGCCAGCAATTGGTGTAATCACGGAGCTTGATACCAAAGGGCCACTTTCTCTGCTGCCCAGCTGCAACACCCCACAGCCTGCAGGAAGGACGTGGAGGGTGGGGTGTGGGAGAAGTGCTGCCCACACGCAGTTCCTGCAGGACGCTGTTAGTGATGAGAGGCACCAGTGAATGGCGTCAGCATGAATCAGCCCTGACTCAGCGGATGCTGTGTTGAGGCACACCCGTTCTGTTCAGGCATGGCCCTCTGAGGGCTTCAGGCAGGGAAATCAGCATCAGCCCTGGGTTCCCCAGTGCAACAGTGCCAGTGCACAGCACTGCAGAAGGGCTGCGCTGGGCCGTGAGCACAGGGAGGTAGAGAGGAGCAGGTTCCTGTCCTGCTGCTGGGCCCCGCTCAGCCCCCTGGCTGCTGCCTCAGGAGGGAGGCACAGGGCCAGGATCAGCTGGGATGCAGCTCAGTCCCAGCCAGGATCGCTGCTTCAGCCAAACGTCTCCACCGTTTGCACACACGGAAGCTCACACTTCTGCACACGTCAAGGAAGCACCGGGCCCTGCCCCAGAACTGGAGCGATTTTCCATCTGCACAATCACCTATGAGTAGCCCAGCGCTTCTCCCTGCCTCTAGCATGGCTGATGCAGGGAAGCACAAGGGGGGAGCAGCTTTACACTAACCTTTCATCATTACCGCCATGTGAAACAGCACTGAACACTACGCATAGTCTGTTTGGATCACAACTAAAAGGAACGAGTGACTTTTCTTTTTCACCTAACTTCTTTACAAAACAAACAAAAAAAAACCCCACAGACACAGATATATTTTTTAAAGTAATAATTATAATACATTAGAAAGAGTCACGGAGGAAGCGTTCCACGCTGTAAACAAGAATAGCAATTAAAACAAAAGCCAACGGTAGCAGGGCTGTCAAAGTGCACGGCTGAGCCCCGGCCTCTAGCGCTGGGCCCTGCACGGCTGTGGTGTGAGGACAGGGAGCGAGGTCTGTCCCTGGCACTGGGCCCTGCAGCTCTGCTGCTGCCCACACTGCATCTGCGCCATGCACTGGGCCAGGGGACAGCACAGCCCCACAGCCCGCAGCGGGGCAGCTCGGCAGGGCCAGGAGCTGGGAGCTCCTTCCTGAGTTTGCTCACAGTCACACTGGCTTTGCTATGGGATGGAGTGGGTGAGGACGGCACTGGGACACGCACTGGAGCGAGAGCAGCTGGAAGGGAGGCAGCACCCAGAGAGCTGTGCGCGCTGCTGGCTCAGCAGCCCCTGGGGTGCTTGTAGCTCCCATCCGAGCAAGGTATGGCTGCTATGGAAGGCAATTGCTGCCTGTCCTGATATATTGCCCAGGTATTGTAGCAACTTAACAGCTTTCACCACTGCACAATTACTGATGAACACACCAATTAAACCAATTGAAGCACTTCTGCCTTAACCTCCTAACTACCTCTTACCCACAGTGTTTTAAAACACAACTACTGAGCATCCATGTAGCACTTCTAAGTGCTTCACCAACAGCACTGCGTACCCCTGGCAGAGTAGCTGTGAGGTCAGCCCTGCACTGCAGAGATGGGCAGGAACAGGGTCTGGAGCAGAGCAGGGCTGCACAAGAAGCAGCAGGCTCCTTCCACAGCTCTACTGCTGATGTGCACATACACAACCTGGTAAATACTCAAAGGGACTCAGTGGATGTTTTCTCCTAGTCTCCAGGTAGGCTTTGCTGCGGTGCAGCAGCCTGAGAGATGAAAATGAGAGATGAAAACCAGGTTTCAAAAGTCTCCTTTAGATCTCAGAGAAGCTTTGGCCTACGTCTGCCATTGAAGGGACGGGCAGTGGTCCCACCCACTGTCCAAAAGGTGACATCCCCATCCCCTCTGCCACAAAGCACTGTCATATATCACACATCTGGCCTCGAGCTTATTTCCTGCTGCTCCCATTGCTCCTCCTTGCTGAAATCCCTTCACCAGGAGCTGCTGTGTGCTGGGCACACGGGTTTGGCCTGGTTCTTTCAGTGGGGTGAGCTGCCCTGCTCCCTATGCACCTCCAGTCAGGTGGTGACATCCTGGGGACACAGTGCTGCCTGAAAAAGAAATGCTGAAGGCAGGAATTGGCTTAGATTCCACATGGTCCCAAGGAAGGTGGGAAAGGGACAGGCCCACAGGGCTCTCCACTGCACACAGATGCAGGGGCATCTGCCCTGTGGCAATGCTTTAGGGCATCAACTTCCAAACCTCTGTACCCAGGTTTCCTTTCTTGGTTGCTGATTTCTGGCTGGGTTAAACTAGGACAAAGAAAAGTCGGGGGCAGTGTGCTCCCCCTTCCAAACTTCTGTGGTGTCTCCACCCCGAAATTTTACTTGTTCTGGCAGGAGCAGGCATCACTCTGGGCACCACAATGAGACATCACCACACACCTCCAGCAGCTCACGGGAAAAGGCAAGGTGCGGGACAGGGGTTTGCACTACTGCAACTAAATGGTGCCCTCGGGCTCACCAGGGCAGCAGCCAATTCTCCCCTTCAGTCAGTTTGAGGCAGCAAGCCTGCTTGCTGCCCTGGACTTGCAACACCCAGGCTCAGTTTTCACCACCATCCTCATCACCTGGAGAACGTGTCACAACCACAGCTCACCACCACCAGCTGCTAACACCTCCTCTCTGGGAGTGCAGCCAGGGGCATGGAAAGGGACTACCAGGAGAAAGGGACTTGCATAGACTGCTGGGCAGTGGTGCTTGCCTGCTGGCACACCCCAGCCTCATCTGAAGGGCTGCTGCTTCCTGCAGGTCTGGAAAAAGAAATAAAGGCCTATTGCTACAGAGGAAGGAAAGCCTCCTGCTAAGTATTTTGGACTCCACTGCCTTATGTCCATCACTGCACCCACCCTGAGCTCTGGAGCTCCGTGCTGCCAGGGGACAGGCAGCGAAGTGCACACATTAACTAGCCCTGCTGCTCTTCCTGAACAAACCCAAACGCAAGCACTTCTGTCCATAGAAAGGAAACCATGGATGCAAACCAAAGCGGAGGTTGCTGGTGGCTCCGGGCTCTGCAGCCCTGGCTCTCGTACCAAAGCACAGCTCCGTGGGACACCGCAGGCAGGCACAGCCCTGCTGAGGGCATCGTGGGGCAGGTGCCATACTGGCTCCCAGCTCCAATCCTGCTCAGTCCCACATTCCACTAAAACGTCACTGACTTGGGCAGCCGTGCAGAGGGAGGAGAGTCTGGGCTGAAGCTGTTCTCTGACAGGGATTTGGAAACCTGTGGGGGAAGTTTTGGTTTGGGGCTCAGGGGTGGGCATGGTGCTTTCAGTGCATTCAGCTGTTTCTGGGTGCCTTGCTGGACCGCCCCCACGTCCGATGTGGCAGAAGGCAGCAGGAAGGTGGCAGCCAGGGGATGGGCGGCCTCTGGCCAGGGCAGTGCCACTTGCCTTCTGTTTGCCAAGTCCTGCTCAGTCACATGTGCCACATGCAGGCGGGTGGTGGTTTTCACCACGGTGTGGAGGCTGTTCCCCCTGGCCTGTGCCGCGCTCTCTGACAGGATAGGTGTGCTGCTGCCCGATGGCCTGCCCGGGGCAAGTGAGCCTAGGGCAGCGAAGCCTCGCTCAAGTGCCATCTCTGTGCCCTGCTGCAGGCCACCAAGCTCACCCGCAGACGCTGACTTGGGAAGTGAGGCCTTTGAGTCCATTCCGTTCAGCAACATCACTCCACACTGTGTCTCGCCCACGTCCTCAGGGATGTCCCTCTGCAGTGCTGTGGCCTCCTCCCCATGCAGGGAGGATGCTTGTTGTTCCCCAGGTGGCCCACAAGCAGCAGGATCCGGTGTGTGGTCCATGCTGGAAGGCTGCTCAGGCGGCTGGGCCTCCCCAGCTGGTGTGTCCACAGGAGTGTTTGACACAGGGTGGAAGGAGCCCACAGAGCCGCATAGGGAGGGAGTGGGGCTGGGTGGCTCGTGGTGCAGCTCACGATGCTCCTTGTGCTCAACCCCATGTCCAGTGTGCAGGGCGGACTCCCCACTCCTCACAGCATCCTCCAGGCTGGTGGGGAAGGCCTGCACCTTGCTCGGCTTTGGAGATTGCCGCTGTGCCACATCATCCGTCGGCTGCCCCTCGCTGTGCGGGGGATGTGGATGGCTGTCAGCTCCTTCATGGGCCTGGCTGCTTGGCACATCGGGAGTCCTGGTGGCCGCCCCTTGGTGGCTAGGGGGATGTGCGGTGCCCCTGTCTGAGGGGTGCTCACCCAGCAGCCCATTCTGGCCATTGGCTGCTGCACTAGCCTTCGTGGCCAGAGGATTGAGGGAAAGCTCCAGGCCCAGGGGTCTGCGAGGGAACTCGTCGGGCTTGGCTGCACCAGAGGGGAAGCAGGAGGAGCGATGACATGAATAAGGGAAAAATAAAAAATAAGAAATTAAGAAAATATATTAAAAATATATAAGTAATCAAAGGGGAACAGGGGGACACGGAAGCTGCCGGTGCTCTACCCACCAGGCGGGGGGAGGTCAAACTTCATCTTGCGCAGCTCGCTCATGGACACCTGCAGCTGGTCTATGACAGTGTCATCTTCATACTGCAGCGATGCAGCAATTTTCTCCTGCAGAAATTCCCGCAGATCTTCCAGCGTCATCTTCAGCAAACGCTCTGGGGAAGGGCAGAGAACACAGCAGGGTCAGAGCAGGGGCTCGGCCTGACCCCACAGCTCTGTTTTGGAAAGTGAACAAGTACTGGGTGCGTTGCTCTGGTTTTGTCTAGGTGAAGAGTGAAATCCATTGGGCCAGGTGTCCTTATGCCCTTCTTTTAATGCTGAGGACTTGGGGCTGTGTGTGCCAGTCATGCTTTCCCCTCCACTTCCTCCAGGCAGCAGCTCAGCAGTAGGGGCTGGCAGCTGACGGTGGGGTGAGGGCCTACGAAGGACAGTACACAAGCTAAGGGCCATTTCTGCAAGTTCTCCTCAATACCTCTAGGAGGAGAAAAAGCTCCATGAGAAAGCCCAATGGCCGCCTCCACCCATGCCCGCAGGCAGGAACAGGATACAGGCAGGGACTGGATAGGGCACTGACATGCCCCACGCTACATGCTCCTCACACTCATCCGAGCACAGATAAATTTCAAAGCCAGGCTGAAACTGCTGCCTGCCATCAGAATTAAAACTTTCTGGAGGCAGCAGCCGTGCAGAAGTTGTTCCAGCCAGAAGCAAATCACTGCCTTTGGATGGCAGCACAAGCTTAGGCTAACCCGAGCCCAGCACCATATCCCTTGGTTAGCAGCTACGTGGCAGCTTGTGCTCACTGCCTGCCCACCACACAAAACACTTACTTTTGTGCAGCTTGAGAATGGTGTAAGCCATGGCTGTCAGGACCCGCTCTCCCTCCAGGATGTAGATGTCCCACAGCCGCAAGGTGAGGGTGAAAGGCGTCTGTTCCCAACATAAACAAAAGCATCCTGTTAGCACCAAGGTAGTGACACTACAGGCTGACAGCACAGAAGTCAGCAGTGTGACTGTGCCCCCTTGCACTGAAACACACCCCACAGTGAGGCATCTGTAATACAAAACCTTATTTTGTAATCTCTGGCTTAAAGCTAACAAACCTGATAGCTTTTGACAGACCTCCTTTCAACCTCCGCAGAAGGTTCTGATCAACACCAGGTCCCATTCTGACAAACAGGGGTGAACTGATATTCAAAATGATAGAGCATCTCCCAGGGACGTCAGCCAGGATTTATGGCACATCACCACTAATAAAATTCATGCTGGTCTTACTGTGACATTAAAATTTGGTTTTAGGATGCTAACCTGCTCTCCAGAGTTCGCTGCAACTGATCTCGGCAGCTCTTGTACAGCTGTTGCTAAGGGGATTCTGCATTTTGTACAGCTTGTAGTGACAACAAGGCTCTGCATGCACACATCTGAGCTCACTCCCAAGAGGCGGCCTCTGTTTTACAGGAGGCAGGGAAGCAGAAAATTGAGACTGTGGACACACAGATGTGCTAAATGTCAACTGGTCTGGATCTGTTGTTCATGTGTGCAAATACAAGGCTGCCCAAAAAATAAGGCAGTCTTGGCTTGACCTGGCCTTGGACACATCAAGGTAATTTTCTCACGCTCTCATGTCTCCAGTGCACAGCCTACTAATTTATGTGCAACCGCTGTAGTGCAATTTGTTCAGGTTTATGCCTCGAGCTCTTCCCCATACATGTTTCCAGAGCCCAAATGAGGTTAATTGCCCTCACACGGCTGCAGTAGAGCAGGGAGGAGGAACAGTTCTCCTCATGCATGTGGCTGTTGGAGGATGCTTGTCACTCTCCGTGAATGACAGGCAGTTAGCTTCTTAGCTTCTCCGCTATTGAATTTGCTGCCTTATGAGAGTATGTATAATATTCTACCTTATATATTACTAAAAGAATTTTAAAATTATGTGATTTTTTCCACAATTAGCAAGCAGGAAACCCAGACAGATTTGGCATGCACGGATGGCAGAGCGGAGTGCAGCCCACGGGGTTCTCACCCGGTCGATGAAGCACTGCAGGAACCACTTGGTGGTGTAAATCCCTGTCGTCATCTGCTCCTTGTCCTACGATGAGACAGTAAGCAGAGACACACGTTTCAGCTTGAGCAATCTGCGGGACTCATCTACAGACACCAGCCATGCCACAACTTGAGGGAACGATTCCTAAGTGCTTTTCTGCCTTAATCTCTTCTCCAGGGATTTACAGAAAGCTCCCAGGAACCAAACCCACCAAACCTATGTACTCCACAGATATTAACATTGGAGTTTCCATAGCAATTCCCATCTTGGCCTCTTGGAGCACACAGAAATAAGGGACCCCAAGCATCCCACAAGCAAACCCAGACCTGCAGAGCCCAGCCAGTTGTGCTCATTCCTCTTTGGCCTCCCCATTAACTCCACCTTCCAAACCTTGAACCGAGGCAGAGTTTATGCCATCCACCTCCCGTTCATTCTTTCCCCCCATTGGCTATAATTAAGTGAAAACATGTTCTGGCTCTGTTCCACTGGCATGGCTGGGGCTGGCCCTCTGGCAGCAAGAGACAGGAGCTGTCTCAGAGGATAGCTGTTCCTCGAGCTGTGCCACTGAGCCCCCGGGAGCACTAGAAGCTCTTAGCAGCCTGACCAATGAATACTAAATGTCTAAAGCAAATGCAAGGGGGGGGAAAAAGGGAGCAGGTGTTATAAAACAGTCTCTGCAGCCTTCGTCCACAATTGACATGCCCTGTAGGCACCCCTCCAGCCTCTGAATGTCATGCCAGCTGCTTGACCTGTGCAGTCTTCAGATTTTAGCAGTCCCTGCACCAATGATAACCAGCAAGCAAATGATAGCCATTCCCCTCAGGAAGATTCATGGAAAAAACAGTTTAAATGCTTGCCCTTGTGTGGCTGAAGCACAGGGTTAGAATTATGTTCAGTTGTGCATACATATGACAGAGCAATACGCTACTTGCTTTGGCATTAAGTGTGCCTTTGTGAAGGAGGATTGATAACAAAGAGATACCATGTGCTTCTTCAGTTTCGGAAAGAGTTTGCTTAAAATCTGCTCGTGATGAGCTTGAAATCTCTGCAGCTTTGGGAACCCAGGAATAAAGAAACCTAAGTAAGAAAAGACAAGAGGAAAAAATTAGAGGAGCTGGGGGGAGCGGTCATGGGGCAGCCCCATGTTGTAGACATTCATCCCCTGTGCATCTGTGCCAGCAAAGGTACAGCACAAGCCTGCTATCTGGAAAGAGATGTGCTTGGCAAGCCTACAACAAGCTTCTTCCTGCTTTGCACCCAAAAACCATAGAATCACAAGAAAGCACTGCTTTAGCAGAGAGCATCAAAGCTAGACCAGGCTGGGTGTAGGCTTCTTCACAGAGCCATGCACAGTTGTCAGACCATCAGGGCTGGCCGCTTGCACCTGAAATTACCCTCTGTGCACAAATGACTGCTAGCCACAAGATGAAAGGAACTTTAATGTGGTTGAAACAAAATAATACAACCCATTCCGTGGAATTGCATCTTCATAGAAACTTAAGGGCACATAGCTCATGGCATATTGAAACCAAAGTGTCGTGCAGTACTCCTGGATGCACTCTTCTGTTAGACTTCTTAAAAACCTGTAAGCTTGAGTTAATTGACTGCCAAGGGCAAAGAACTTTGGAGGGGAGATATCACCTATATAACTGCATTAATTATAGAGCATCAGGGGCTGGTGCTGATAAACTACATTCTTCTCTTGAGCCTGTCTGCCTGAAGCAGAACTCAGATCCATGCTCAGTTTATGCTGCCATGTAATTAAGCCATGCTCACTTTAAGCAAGTACCTAAGGAAAAACAAGGCTCTCCTGGCCAAATTACACAGCAGACTACAGCCTCCTCTCAGCAAACCCCACAGCAAGAGCTGCTGCCTACATCCCAGCCATCCTTACCATGCATCGCATGCTTCTGGTTGGTCAGCAGCTGTGCCAGTGCCCAAAACGCATCTTCTTCATTCAAGTACATCAGCAGGATGGCTGCGATCTGACTCATCCCCTGGCAGTAGCTCACCTCCTGCAAGAGCCAAGGGGCACATGAGCTGCATGCTTTGGCTTTCTCTGCAACCCTATCAGACTCTCATGATTTGTTACTGGCGAAAAGGGGCACGTAGGGAAGACCTGGAGATGGGAGCACGTGAATCCTGGGCCCTTCTGTTGTCAGGAGAAGCCCGGCTTGCCTGTGTCTCCCATTCTCCTCTAAGTTCTGTCCCAGTTTTCAGGTATTTACTGTTTATTCTTCAGTTTATAGTTCCCATATGCCTACAGTGTCTGCCATATGGTCTACACCATCCCACCTGCAAGGCTTTAAGATTTCCAGGCACCTCCACATGCTGGTTAAAACCAGCACACAAACCATTCTCCCTCAATTCTCAGGAAAGGAAATGCATTTTCATGCAGGAATCTACCGTGAGTCTAGACAGAGTCTGAACACTAAACATGGGTGGATAGTAACCCAGGTCCTGTTAATGCTCAGTGTATTTTGAAACCAACACTGGATTTACTGTCCAAGTGACTGCTGCCAGCTCCAGGCAGTGAAGGCTAAGACTAAAACAAGAGCCCAGCTCTGAGCCAGGCCTTTAAAAAGCCCTTTGAATTTGTGTTATCTGCTGAACAGCATCTTCAAAAGGTTTACCCAAGATTTTAAGGATGCCAGACCTGCGAGACAGGTCAGTGAGCAGTCGTTCCTTTGATTACCATCTGAAGTCACTTGTGCCTCCTTGCAATGGAGGCAGTGCACTCAGCAGCCAGTGTAGGCCTATTCTGCCCAAGCATCACAGCAGTCCATGCACATCAGCATTAGAACTTCAGCTGGCATGACTCTACCTGAGATACACACACTTGCTGGATGTATACACGTGTATATATACATATACATCAGTACAAGGCTTTCACTGTAACTGGACTAGCTTACTACTTACAGTGTTGTACACTGAGTATGCCGACAGGACGTGGAACAGTGCCTGTTGCCTGTGGAGAAAGAAAGGACATTAAAATGTGCCACTCATACAAACTGAGCTCAACACACCCCTGTGTCAGGTCTGGAAGGGGGTTTTCCCATAGTCTGGAAGCCACTGAGGCACCAAATGCTTTAATTCCAGGGGAAATAATGTCACCTTTCCATTAGTCGGCTTCTCCCTTCTGCCCCTGCTACGTGAGTCATCCCTGTATGGATATGCAGTACAGTGCACATGGTAAGCACACTGTATGTAGGGCAGCTCTCCAAACCCATCCATCACAGAGGCCACATATGTTTCATCCTGCTCTACAGGGACTCCCCACAAGCCCTCTGTATTTGCAAGACCAACACCTCCACAGCCAAAGCACCACAACAGACTGATGTGCCAGGCTCCAGAACTAGGACTGAGCATGGTCCAAGGTGGATCTGCCCAAAAAGAGAGCTCAACAGCTGAACCCAATGCGGCCAAGCCTTGTTGTGTGCCCCTCAAGCGGTACTCACTTCACACCATAGCGATCCCGAAACATGATGTGGTTTCGGAATGTGCGGTTAACATCCAGATCTATCTGCTTGATTTCCGAGGACCAGCTCTTTGCCTGTTGTTTCATTTGCTGGAAAGGAGAGGGGCAGACAAGAGGAAGGGGTCAGACAACATCTAAGCCTGCACCACTTGACATGCAGCCATCTCCCCGTGGTAGAAGTGGCAGCCTGTGAGATGCAGAGCCACTGAGGAGCGATCCCAGCTGTGAGCAGTGACCTGGAGGTGAAGGGATGAGGAACAGTGACCAAACCGAACACAAACTTGCCCTCCCACCGAGGCAGAGCAGCTGTAGCTCAGCAGCATGTGTGCCTGCACAGCAGGACGTGGGTCAGCACATCTTACCAGCCCCAAACCCCTTGCAAGCACAGAGATAGCGCTGCTTTGGCTCATCCCATTGTGCAGCCTCTTGCTTGCCCCTACATCCCCAACACAGGCTTCTTCATGGCACCCAGCCTGGCATTCTCCCTGGGCTGTAACAAAGCTTCAAGACCTCTGCTGGTGCTTGAGGAACAATGCACACCCATAGCAAACAAACAGATGTACATACACCTATAGCACTGAGCTCTTCAGAGGCTCAGTCATAATGAAGTCCAAAGTATTGAGACTTTGATTCCTCTGGAAAGTGATCCTTACTCCCCATGCAGAAGAGAATCATGTTAAGTTTCAGGAATCCTAGAAAAGCAGTTCTGGGATATTTCTTGGATTGGTGCAAGTTTTAAGGAACTGGCTAAGTCCATTCAAAACAGAATCCTCACATTCCCCTACACTAGCTAATCATTTAAGGCAGTGTTACACAGAAAGGACTGAAGTCCACTGCAAAAAACACAAAAAAAACAAAAGCAAATTACATTGAAAGCTAAGCCCACCTGAACCAAGAGTGAACTCCAAAGTTCAAGAGTGGACAGACAGACATCAGGAAACATTTCTTTACCATGAGGCTGGTCAAACACTGGGACAGACTTCCTAGTGAGCTGGTGATGCTCTATGCCTGTGAGTACTCAGGAGGTATTTGAGCAATGCCCTCCAGCCCTGCCCAACCCATGGCACTAATCCAGCACAGTGGGGCCAGACACAGCCAATGCTCCTTCAGGAATTTTAAGTCTAACCATGAAAGCAACTGTATGGAGGAGCAACAGCACAGGGCTGCTTTTGAATTACTGCCTGCACTAGACAAGGCAAGGTAGCAAATATGACAATAAAATGATGATGAGATAAATGCTATCATCTCCCTGTACTAAATCCTGAACTTCCAGTACTCCTCCCTGCCCTTCACAATGCATAGTCTACCTGAAGTAACACAATGGCTCACACGCATCCGTTACTTGAGTTCAGATTTCTCCACATTTCCCTCCAGTTTTCCCTATCAGAACAGCACAGGCATCTCTCCCAAAGCCTATAACTAACTGTACTTTGGTATCTTCTGACTTCTCCAAATGGGTCGTCCTCAAGGCACACAGGATGTGTTTCTGCCACCATATGCCCCAGTGAGATGCAGCAGCCATGGGGCCGATCTCTGGAGGTCAAGGGGCTGAGGCTGACTCAGTCCCTTCTGAAAGCAAAATCCCTCCACCAGGATGTGCCTCTGGAGCTAATTAACAAGAGAGATAATTGCTAGCGGCAGGTGGCACCAAAGAGGAGGAGGATTAAGACGAGCTTTTAGGGGGGTTTGAGTACAGCAAAGCCTATTAATCTTGAAGCTCCCGCTTATTGCAGACTCTCCTCTGAAGCACAGATAAACTCCTTGTGACTTTCATTTGTTTGGATTGTTTCCCTGCCTGCACTGCACCAGCTTCCTGGGAGGGAGCGTGATAAGAAACTACGTTATTACAGGCAGCTTCATTATCCCTGCTTATTGCTGGGATCCCAACCTGTGTTCTCCGTGCCCCCTCATGTGACTCCATCCCGGCAGCACTTCACTATTAACATCCATGCTTGACTGGCTGTAATAAGAATTAGCCTCATCCTGTGTAATAGGCAGGGATTTTAGAAGGGCCTGCACCTCCTGGAAGTGGAACTTTAATTTCTGCCTCCAAAAGGCAACAGCCTCTGCAGCACCCCAGTGCTCACCATTATGAGAAACGTGCCCAAGCTCTTAAGGGCAAGCTGAGGTCAGCTAGGAAAGCGTGTGCCACCCCTGCTGTAAAGGAGCCTGCTTGGTCTGAGCTATGCTAATGCAAGCTAATTGTGAAACAAGGTAGGAAAAGAAGCCAGGCAGCATAAAGCAGCCTTAAGGTTTGATGTGAAAAATAGAAAAAATACAGCAAGCACCATTGCTTGCATTTCTGTTCAATGCACGCCACGGAAACTGCTTATTTGATACCAAGGAATCCACAGAAAAGTCTGCAGGATGAAGAGCTCTGGTTGGAAGCAATGCAAGAAGGACCTTGCTCCTATCTGCAGAAGAAAGAATGGAAATTGATTTTTAATAGAGACTTTCAAGATAGTACTGCTATAATAATGACTGAAGATAAAAGGAATACACCAGCTGCTTCAATCCAAGCCATTTCAATGCTTGCCAACAACTTCCAGCTGAATATCTCAGTTAAAAACTAATCAAAAGGCTTTCTAGACCTGTCCTCACCCCACTGTATTGGCTTTCTTGACTAGCAACCCTTTGTAGGTTGGTTCAAGGCTTCTGACCTTGCTGCATACTTCACAGTGCAATGAGTAACATTTTGAAATCCACAGGGAGGTCTGGAGCACCTACACCTAGTGGCTACCTGCTCCAAGTGCTCTGGGCTACTACACAGTCTGGCAGCTTGGGGAACTACCGCCAGCAACTTCATTGAGCTGTCTGCTCTCGTACCCAAAGATGCAGTAACACCAACAGCTCCTTCACCAGCTGCTTGCACAGAACACGTGGGAGCAGCACACTGGGGAAGCAGCTGGCCAGCAGGCCCCAACCTGACAAACACATGGATAAGGAGTTTATCCTCCTTTCTCAGCCCTTGCTAACTTTAAGCCTTTCCTTCTCAGAGTTCTCAGCAGGTCACTGCAGGGATTCAGCCCAGCCACCACCGCATACTGCACTCTCCCTATCCCCAAAAGCTTCTCCACGGGGATCCCCCGCTTCCCCCCCTGCCCACCGCAGATGCAGATTCCCCAGTCCTTAGTGGATCCTATGTCCACCACTGGTCCACCCTGCCCCACCACAGCAGCCCAGGCAGCTCCCTCCCCACCTGCTCCTGTGCTGGTTCCGTACCTCATACTTTCCTTCATTCTCCTTCTTCATCTTCTCAACGTCCAGCAGGAGTGACCAGACCTGGCCTCGCACCTGGAGCGGAATGCCTTTGTACACTCGCCGACACATCTGCCAGGAGGAAAAGGCATGCACTGTTAGTGTGCTGCAGAACAGCTGTGCTCACATGGCACAGCAGCAGCCCTCTTGTCTGTTCTTGTATAGAAAGGCACTTCCAGTCTGATGAGTGGGCTGGGCGCCTGCAGCCAAAGACATCTATTTAGCCAAAATCCAGACACATCTCATGCTTTTCAGTTCACTAGAAGAGCTGGGCACAGACCATCCCCATTGTAGGTGTAGCTCTTACATTTCCCATAGCCAACCTGCCCTTGGACTCCTCGATGTCTCCTGGAGCAGTACCCTTGGCTTTGCAAGCCTTTGGTCTGAACTGGTGTGGCCACTTTTATCTGGATCTGACTAGGAGACAAATACATTTCCCCTTGGAGAGGAGAGCCCTCACCACAAGAGTCACAGAGATGTGTCCACAGCAAAACCTGAAGACAGATGGATGTGGCAAGGCAAGTGGCAGGTTACACCAAGGGCTTTCGTGCTGGAGAAGGTAACAGCCCACGTGTATCCCTCAAGCAAGGACAGGGATCAAACAAACCGTGTGAGTGTCCCCCCCCTTCTAACTCCATGTGTTCGCTTTATGCCTTTCACAGATGCCTCTTTCCTTTTTCTTGTTATAAGGCCCTCTTTCTCTGAACAGACTATTAAATTTCAATGGGAAACAGAAAAAAGAGCTTTTTGTTCCATCCCTGACTTCTCCCATTAAAAGAACTTAAAAAGAAAAAAAAAATGCCTTATGTCTGAATATTTTCCATGCTTGCACTCATCCCACCCCCTTGAAACGTCTTACAGCTGCACTGCAGAACCAACTGCAGCATTCCTCCAGGTTCCTGGGGACCCCAGGGCTGCACAGGCCCAGGCTTCAACTGCAGGGACTTATATTAGGATGCAGGGATCCCCCCAGTCCCCTAAAGGGACTGAAGGACCCTATAGGACAGGGCAGAACAGCAGCTCTATGCCCCACTGAGTACCATCGATTCATGCTGTCTGGCTTAAACTTATCTGACCTCCCCCCAAATCCTTCTTTTCCATAAGCTTTGTGCAAGAGAAGGGCTATGACTTGAGGGGAAGTGTCAAACCACACAGTATCAGCAGGAGGTTTTCTCACTGTGGACCTGCAATGTTGCCTTTGCATCCCTGGCACTAAGTAGAGCATCTGCTGCTTCAGTGCAGAGCACTTCTCCTTCCTGGCACACACCACACCATCAGCTTCCCCTCTTCTCACCTAAGTTTTTAACACAGGCCCTGCCCCAGATCTGCTGCTCACTACTCCAGGCAGTCTCACTTGCTCTGACAGTCCTACACACACCCCAGACCACCATACTCTACAGAAGCCCTTTGTGAGACCCTCAGCTAACACCAGGTAAGAGAATCACAGAATCACAAAATGGCCAAGGTTGGAAGGGACCTCAAGGATCATGAATCTCCAACTCCCCCTGCCACATGCAGGGCCACCAACCTCCCCATTTAATACTAGAGCAGGCTGCCCAGGGCTACCAAGATGTGTACACAGAGGGAGGCCTCCAACAACTCAGCGATGGCCCATGTTTTAGCGTCACTACTTCAGAGTCTGCCAAACTTAGCAAGGAAGAAGCACAATGTGTATGTGGAACAATGCAATTACATGAACCACTCAACCGAAGTCAAACAGGAAAGGAAAATCATGGAATCATTGGAATTGGAAGGGACCTTTAAAAGTAATTTAGTCCAATTCCCCTGCAATGAATACGGCTATCTACACAAGATAGGGTGCTCAGACCCCTCCCCCACTTCAGCCTGACCCTGAATGTCTCCCAGGACAGTGCATCCACCAGCTTTCTGGGCAACAAGGAGCCTGGATTATAACTTTGTGAAGCATAAGCTGAGACAGAAAGAAGAAAATGGAGCATGTACCCATTTAGTTAACAATCATCCCATGATATGTTTGTTTCCAGAGTATTAGGAATGAGTGGCTGACAGTCACCAAGGTAGAGCAAGCTCAGCTTTGTGGGAAGAAAATTATTTTGTTTTGAATTCTTGGCTCTGTTATTGTTATACTTTAACAAATGTGGCATATATAGTAAATGGCTCTAACGATTTTCTCTGCACAAGAGTGCAGCAGAAACAAAGGAGTTACAAAACATGCTGAGATGAAAATGAACTAAAATACCTCTCTGCTATTTATCCAAAGGCTTTCCTCCTCCCACCACTTCCAGAAGTGCAAGTGATAAAACCTCAGTGCTGTGAATCACGGAGAGGGAAAATGAGCAATTTTCCTTTGTCGTGAGACTTGAAGGAAAACAGGGAAGTTATCATTAACAGCAGCAATTATGTGGGAAGCAGAGTGCAGGTGACAGCAGCTTCTGCCCTGCATGAAAATGAAGTACCCTCCCAACTCACCATCTTCTGGCTCTAATAAACTGCTCAATGCTTGCAGCTGTGAAAAGAGCACCAGGAGCACAGCCCAAGCAGACTGACACAGACGAAGAGGGCAGGGAGAACAAACCCCATCCCACCTCACAAGTGGAGGTGCTGGGAACTGAAGTGATGGCTCCACAGCTTTCACCAGAGGGGTGGATCTCCATTGCCCTGGTGGCACATCATGAGGACAGCGTGGTGGCTGTGGCAGAGACCATTTGCTACAACAGCGCAACCCCTTCCTTTACTGGCAGCAGTACAGCAGGGAGAAAACCTGACTTGGCCCAACTCTGCCATGACGAAGGTCTGCAGGCTGTTCCTAGCAGGAGCAGATTACTCCCTGCTGGGGGTCTGTGCCAGTCAACACAGAGCCCTGATTCATCCTAAACCGCTTAACGGCACGCATTGAATTAAGAACCCAGCACCTCAGTGACCTTTAACAGAGACAAGGCCACGACTGTGTGCAAAGACAGGCTTTGCTAAGAAGCTGACATCCCCAGCCAAAGACATCCATCTCCAAAGTCCTAATGCAACAAGCAGTGCGCATGCTGTGCACAGATCACATCCTCCCCCCAGCTGTCAGTCCCCCAGAACTGATACTTCTGACTGAAATCCAGTTATTTCAAAGCTACAATGAAGAAATTAGCTTGTTATCAAGAAGCACTCTGCGTAGCACTTTTCCCTTGAACTACTGTGCATATGCTTACATGGCACCATCAGGGCAATTCCTAGAATCCTAGAAGTAATAATGTGGGTTTAGAACAGCAGTGAAGGGAGCACAAATCCCCCAGCTCTGCTGTGCTGCATCCTGAGCCACACAACACAACTTCTCTGCAAGTTGGCTCTGTGGAGCTGTGTGCCCTTAGCATGGACTCATTTATTTCCACATCATTTCCCCTGTGAAGTCAGTAACGCTGCACGTACAGCCAGGAACAAGCACCGTGACATCAGCCTAACTACATCCCTGCTAGAACGGCGCTGGTATCATTTGTGTGTGCTTCCACTGGAATTAAGTCATAGTGCTGCAAAGCATGCCTAGAACAGCTCTGCAGACAGATCCGATGCGGTGCTGAGCGTGAGGAGTCCCAGGGCACTGCTTTCATTAAGGCAATCCTATCTGCTGCTCATCTTGAAACAGGTCACACTAGGAGTGATTTGAGGAGTAGGTGGGTCACCTTGGGCCAGGGGGATGTCAGAGGCTGCCTGCTGAGAGCTCTGTCTCTTACAGTCTGCAGCAACCACATCACGAAGACAGGGGCCAGTAGCAGGTGGGAATGCATGCTAGAAACTGAGCTAACGTCAACCAAGCTTGGAGACAGGGAGCATCCCCAGGGAGGGTGCAGCGTTCCTCAGAGGTGGCAGAAACGGTTACACCATGGCCCTTCACCTTTCCAGCAGAAAGCCCCTGCGGGTGCTCTTAGAGAAGCTCTGGTAGCCTTCAGTATTACTTGCTGCACACTGCAGGAGCCTGTGCTGCTGTAACTCTGGAGCTGGGAAAGATGTGAGTTACCCATTCCAAAACAGACAAGCCAAGGCAACAACCTGAGCTCCATGCCGACGTTGAAAAACACACATGGCAACACAGTGAGTCCAGAGTCCTTCTGAACAGACTGTGTCAAAACCAAGGACAAAGAGATGGCGCCTGTCTTCAGTAAGAGATTTCTTCTTACGATGAAATCTGAGTCCTTTCTTCGCAATCCTTTAAATTCCACCCCTGAGCTGTGTCAGCCACCAGCTCATGACAGCACCAACCTCTGAGCAGCTTTTGTGCTGCCAATCAAGCACTGGGCTGTACAGCTCTAAGAGAGCAGCATCTTTCCTCCAAAACAGCAATGCAGATGGCGGTGTGCTCCATGCAAGGGACTGACAGGGATGGAGAACACATCCAAGTAAAGTACTTTTCAGTGCTTCTTGAGGTCTTGCTCCTTGCCACTCCACACTGAGCTCCACAGGGTAGCTCTGATACATGCACTGATGGTAACAGCAGCAGCACAGAGCTTCCTGCCAGCAGTGCCAGCAGGCTGCCAGGCCTGACTCAAAGCTGCTTTGTGCTCTTTGGCTTCATGCTCTCCCAGGCTGCCGCCAAGCACTGTGCCTCAGCCGCTGGGGGGGCTCAAGTCCTAGAGGGGACAATGCCACTTCTGTGTCCTGGAGTGAGGGACCGTTCACGGGCCGTTATAAATAGCAACATCATTTATTTCTTTACATTCTCTGACACAGGGACCTGTGAGTGGCTTGCTGTTGGATGTCTGATCAAGCACCTCTCCAGCCTTCAGCTGAAAGTCAGCGAGCAGCCAGATCACACAAATCCTGCTCTTCAGTGCTTCCTAAGATCAACCCCGGGGCTGGTCATGGGAATCCCATCGCTTTGACAAAGGACCAAGGCAGTTGGTTTATCCTGTGCTCCTTCAGCACCTGAACTTCCTGTTGGCCCACCCAAGCTGACACAGGAGAACCAATGTGTGCTCGACACACACCAAACACAACAGGGACTGCTGGGATTCCCTGAACACTGTTGGAATTTGGTATTATGTCCATGAGACCACAGAACAATTAATGCTAAGTTCTAATTAGAGAAGTCAAGGCCACAGGAGAGCCTCCATTTTTGCCACCCACAGAACAGCACTGATGAAGAAAATAATTATAACAGCACTGAAACGAGAAGAGGGACTAAAACATCCCAAGCTTATCTTCAGTACCATTCTTGTTGTAACAAAAATAAGATTTTATTTAACAGAAGAGGAGCCTACTGCTGTTCTTTGGTTGGGTGAACTTCAAATTGCTCCAGGCTGCCAGTGATAAGGGAAGAGGATGCTGTTTCCAAGCTGCCCATTGCAGCCTACAGCAGCTGTGCTGGCATCCTCTGGAGGTGGCTGAGGGAGCCAACACATGGAGCTTCTGAATGCAGGCAGATCAAGCACAATGCCTCCGACAGTGCTCAGCAAGGGTCTGAAGTCTGCCATCAGGTTTGAGGCTTTTTTGCTTTAAGAGGTTTGTCCTAGGAATTTATTACAAATATTATGCATTAAAATTAATTTGGTTTTGCACTGGTGTTTGATGCAGTTTACTTAAAGTCAAATCCAATACAGAAGGTTAATGCCTCCACATGTGCCTTCCACAGATGGGTGAACACCAATAGGCTCAGCAAGCAAAGGGCTTTGACACAGGCAAAGCAGGGAGCAAAACCCAAAATCTAGGTCACGTCCTAGACTGATATTTCTCACCCCTGGGAGAAAACCAGGAGGAACATCAGCAGTACCCACTGCATTGTCCATGCCATGCTCAGGTGCTGCAGTGTGCAGCAGGGACCCAGCTGGCCACACAAACACATCTGCCTGCACAGGTGTCAGTGCAAACATATAGGCAGCAATTAGAATTTCTCATCATATTTGAGTCAGAGCAGAATTTTCCCTCTACTGGTAAGCCAGCAAATCTAAGGAAAGATTAACTAACGGGTAGAATTAGTCAATATTTTCCATCTATCTCTGATTTCTCTCTTAACTTTCTCTGGAAGCCTGACTTATTCAAAGGAGTCACCAGAGCATCCCTCCTTGCATGTGCTCTTTTTTTCCACCTTACCTTGTCACTGTTTCTGTATTTGCTCCATTTCTTCAGCATCTTCAGCCACTTGTCCACACGCTCAATTTCCTGCTGCTTTTGCTGGTGGGAGGGGGGAAAAAGACAGGACAAATTTAAGAAAAAAGCTAGAATACGATTTCTGAAAGATAAGGATTTCCTTCTCTTTTGGTTTAAATTTCTGACAGCTGAACTTTACATTCAGCTGCATATAAATGCCTCTCACAGGAGACAGGAATAACCCAGAGGCGTTTGCAAGAGCTGGCAATTTCAATTCTCAGTCATTAAAAAGGCATTGTATAAACAAGGAGAGACACAGGCTTAACATGCAGAAAGCATTTCCAAGGGAACCATTTCTCAACAAAAAAAAATCCTTCCAGGTTCAGCTAGCCTCAAATCACTAAAAACAGGGATAACTCGTCCCCAGGTGAAGTTACAAGAACCCAGTACCCACACTGGCAAAGTTGACAGCTCTCACCTTCTCCTCCAAGGCGGTGCGGGTTGGCAGCTCTTGCTCGCTGGAAAAGCAAGGGGTGACATATTAACCATGGGGACAGCAGTGTACATGGTGAGGGTGGAAGAGAAGAGCAGGACTTACTGCAGAAACCCAAAGCGGTCAGTAACTTTGTACAGCGTGAAATCAGCATCTTCCCACGGGTCAATCGTGGCTCCCTCCTGCCTGCCCTGAAAGCAGAAGGAAGGTCAATGAGCCACATCAGGGATGGAAATACCCCAGTGCCTGTATGCTAGAAAGCACAGAACAACAGCAATACAGACCAAAACCTACTCTAAAGAGAAAAAATGCAACACAATCAACAGAAAAGTCTACAGAGGTGCCACTGCTATGGGCTCAGAAAGGGTTGCACATCATAGCAGGCAGTGCTGTTGGGCACGCACCATCCTAGCTTCAGTAGAGACACGGAGGCACTGGAAACCCAGGGCCTCCATGACTGTATGGAGTATATATGGGATCCAAGAGACTGTGAGAGAGGATGGGCAGGCAGAAGCAAGCAGAAAGAGCTCGGCTGCTGCAGCAATCCTTCAAAGCATCCTTGCTTGACCCATTGACCAAATATCCCGAGCCTTAGCTAGTGTACTGGGGAAAAACACATGGCTGGTACCTTCTCATACTTGGCAATGATCTCCGCTTTTTCCTGGGTTATTAAAGTGTCTATATCTTTCTTCATGTCAGAAGCTGTAAAGCAGAGGAAAAAAAATTAGAAAAAGAGATAAGTAAAACTGTACACAGCATAGGAAATATTTTAGGGAAATAGGAAAAGCTTTGCTGACAACTTTAGCTCCCAGCCTTATCCAAAAGATAAAATGAGGCTGAGATTGAGAAGCCTCCATACAGAACCTGCATGGAACTCACATGCACACAGCACAGCTGCCAGCTCCTCATTCTATACTGAGAAACAACTGCACTGGAGCAAGCAGGATCTCTGTCTATACAGCAGCTGGAGTGGGAGATGCTCTGCACACTCACATGCTGTACAGAAGACAGAAAGTAAAACTGAGAAGTGCAAACCAGCAGTGCTGATGAATTCTGAAGCCCACTAGCTGCAGACAGGATAAGCATTGGAAGTTGTGCTGTGTTATCATTCACATGGCTGTGGCTTTGCCAGCAACAGGTTCCAGATGGACAGCGTACTCTGAGGAGCAGGGAGGGAGCTGGGACTAGCATCAGTACTCTGATGGCCTTTGAAAAAGGTCTACACACTTAGGAGTACAAAGCCTCTTAGAATAGCTTGTTAGATTGCTTTTTGTCTGCTCAAAGGAGATTTTTGCCTATTTTGCCTGCTGTAAGACAACTCAGCAGGGTTGGGAAAAAGCTATTAAGGACCATCACAGCCTTAAACTATTCTCCCAATGCCACAGATGAATCATCCAGTGATTCACCCAGAGCATCTGAAAGCTAAATGACTTTAATAATACAGTCCAGAGATTTATTGTCCAGCTTGAAAGGAACACATGGGATCCCTAGTTGGACAGAATCCTGCAAGAAATTGCAAAATGAATCATGTGGCCAGCACACTGACTGCCCATGTGTGCTGTGCAGGAGTGGGTTGTGCCGATCCTGCCCCGTGCTGGGGGCAGAGGAACACAACACAGCAAATCCTAACCCTCTGCAGGCTGCAGTATAGGAAGAAAAGCACTACCTCCCTCATTTTCACTTCACAGATCCATTTGATAATGGTGATGTCCTTTTCCATTTGCTTGCATGGTTCTCATTAATTTCAGGATCACTACAGATCGGACACTAGAGCCACTAGAGATAAATGGGGAAGCAAGAAGGGAAGATCACTGCTTCCCATGCTCCCCTTCTGAGAAATTTGAATCAAAGGAAACTTGCTCTCCTGCCCCACCTCCTTCTTACACCACTTTTGGGTTGTTATGAGGCTGGAGAATTCAAACAAGATACTTACGGTGCTTCTGAAAATACAAATTTTCTGCAGGCTGGGGGCAAGAACAAACTGTATGTCAAACTGAATGCATGATTTTTTAAGACGCTTATGAAGTGGAAATTATTCTGACCATCTCTACCACACACTGTAATAGAATAACCAGAGGAAGAGCTATTTGGTAAGAAAGGAAGGCTTACATAGCAGAAGAAAGCAGCAACACCACATGTATTTTGGCTCCAGACTCTGCAAAAGGCTCCCTGCAACCAGAAACCTCGAACTGGTGCAAAGCAGCCAGTTCTGCACCTCATACCTGGAACACGCCTGTAATGACTTTGCTTCTCTGTACTGCACTGTCTGCCCACACTGAACCCTGCCCTAGCCATCAGCAAACCCAAACTCTTCACAAAATATCCCATTTACGAGAGCCTAGATGGTAACAACCTTTCCTTTGCTAGCTTGCCATATGAGATTTTAGGTATTGGCTGCAGCCAGGTGTCTCCATCTGAACTCCACGACTTTTTGCAAACATTGCTATTTCAAAGTCAGACTTACTGTTATAACTTTTCCCAAGATGTCTCAGATTCTTTTTTCCATGAAATCCTTATCATCTTATTTAATGGTAAATATAGGTATCTACACTCCGTACTCCTTGACTTTAAGGTAACACAGACACTGAGCTTTCCTTGTGGTCGTACCACTGTCACCAGAGAGAAGAGTTGGGCTCTGCTCACTCAGCTCACCCCATTAGGACTCGTTAGCCATCCCCTGCCTGGTTCTCTCCCGCACCTGCAGATGAAGCAGATGCTGCTACCTGTTCCAGAGGGGCCCTGAGGATACATCTGCACACCTTTGCATCCTCTCTCCCCACTGCTTGACGAGCACATACAAGGAGGAAGTCCCATTAAGGACTTCCATCAGGACGCAAGAGCAGCACGCGGATCTGCACACAGCAGAGATGAAAGTGTACAGTCTCTGCACAAGGACTGGAGCAGAGGCACTGAAGACCTGGCTGACGGCGATGTAGAGCTTCATAGAGAACCGCAAGGAGTTGCACATCTGAAATGTGCATGTTTAGGACTTGATGATCCTCGGGGCTCCCTTTAAACTTGGGATATTCTATGACATTCTATGTCTTGAGATGCCCCACAAGAAATTCACTTCAGCCACGATGCAAGATCTGACACCTCAGATACCTTCTTGCAAACCAGTTTTCTGCGGGACCTCTGGCAGAAAGCAATTCCCAGCCTCTGGAGGGAGAAGCTGCAGTGATGTTGTGCTGATGCACCCTTCTGCACACAGGTTGAGCTTGAGAAAAACAGAATTTTCTTCTAAGCCCACTGCTTTAAGCAGCAATTATCTGCGTGAGCTGAACCCTGCTGCTAAACCTCCCCATCTAGGCACTGCTGAATGCTCACAGCTTTCCTGCAACCAACCAATTTCCCTTTGAGTCAATGCTGTTCCTTCCCCAGGCAGAGCTGACTGGGCCACCTGCAGCCCTCCTCCGCACACTGCCCCCCAAGGCACAGCTCAGAAATGTGCTCGCCTGCCTCAGCCCTTACAGAACTGCACCCATGGCAATGGGGGTTCTAATCACTGCTTGGGTGAAGGGCAATCACTAGTAACTGTTACCTAAGAAATGAGTTTGGTTAAGATGTGTTGGAGTCCTGAATGTGCCAAACGAAAAAACCCACATCTTGGCACGCAGCACAACACGCTGGCTGGTATCAAACTGAAACTGCTGTGGGACACAGTCAAAAAGGTACGTAGCTGACAACTGCACCCACCACCACGGAAATTTAGAAGGTCTCTGTTCCTGTTATGCATCCTATTTTAAAAGCACATTTTAACAAATCAAATCACGTCAAACCTCAGGCTGCCCACGCTACAAGCCTGCACTTCTCCTGCAGGAACACGGCGCAAAGAGCTGACCTCAGGCTGCTTGTCCCAGGGCAGTGCTCAGAGCAAAGCCCTGCAGTGCACAGCCTCGGTGACGCAGCAGCTCAGTATGCAGTGGGCCACAAAACACTCAAAATGCCCCAGAAGGTTTCACTGAAGCACGCAGACCTGCACCCATCCCTGCTTGCTGCTAATCTCTCATCAGGCAAAGTGAGTACTTGGTTGCAGCCGTGCTGCAAAAAAGGGAAGCAGAATTGTGCTCACAAAGTCACTAAAGGCTTCAGAAACAAAATTACTACCGGGCAGGATGAACACAGATACAGGAGATCCTGTTTGCATGTTTACTTCCTTGACTACGACAAACCCAAGAGCGTACAGGCATGTTAATTTTTTTTTCTAAAGAGTGTGAGGAGCATGAAGTCAGATGAATCTTAAGGAGGAGACTGACTCAGCTGAGGGCCTCTGCAAATGACTGCCCATAGATCACCTTCCATGACTCACAGGTGTATCATAGACAGCTCAAATGTGTTCTGGTCTCACTATATTTGCACTGTATCTGCATCATATCCGCATGCATCATAACATCACAGCCACCTCTACAAGAACACATCCCCATCCTTTAGCAGAGGCGCTGCTGACAGCTGAGAAGGTCTCCAGTACAAGCTGTGTGATGCAAGTAGTGATGTCCCAAGCAGCTCAGACGCAGAACATTCAGGATGACCACATAATTGACAGCCCAGCAAAGGTCTGAACAATCTGGGGCGATCTGATTGACACATTAGACAAAGGGAATGTGGTGATGTGAGGCACCGTGCTCTTACCTGCACCTATATCAGGTGCCGAGATGCATCAGTTCAGCCAGAGTTGTGCTCTCCCTTTTGGGCATCTAACCAGCAGTAAGCCCTCTGTCTCAGCTTGCGATGATTCCTGGTCACGCGCTCACGGCTCAGCCCTGGGCAGCCTTGTTGCACCGCTGTCTGGACAAGGGCTGGTTCCTGCTGAGGGCTCACTGCAAAGGAAGCAAGGAGCTGGTGAACTTTCCATCCCATTCGGTGCTGCTCTTCAGCAGTGCACCGAGCATCTGTGGGCAATGGGGGTCGAGGTGTAATTGATGTTGTGCAGGTTGCTCTACCCACAGTAGCAATGTGCAAGGAAGGAAGCTCATTGGGAACAAGGTGGGATCTTGTGCTACTAGCAACATGCTGGGAGATGACTCCCAAGCTAGCTGAGGAGTTGGTTTGACCCATCCTTATTTCCATCCCCTGTGCAACTCTAAACACAGAGGACACAGAGGTCTCACCAGAGATCCATCCTGGCTGGGATTCCCAGTACAGTGGGGAAGGAATAAGGAGTAATAGAGAGAGAGTCAACCACAGGGAAATCATTCCCCCACTGCCACTCGTGCTCAAGCTTTTGACTCAGTGTGCTCAGAGCGAGCTTCCTCCCCACCCAGCACATGCCCCTAGCTGCTTCCCCTGCACAGGGCTCTGTGTTTCAGCTGCTTCCTGGCCTTGCTGAGTGGCAGGGCCTTCCCTGGCAGCCCCAAGCCCCTCTATCCCAGCAGACACACTCCTTGCAGCCAAGCAACTTCTACTCACTGCATCCAAGAACATGAAGCAATTCAGAGAACAGAGCCCACTGTGTAGCTGTCATTATGACAGCCTCAAAAACTGGCATTTCTCTCCATTTTAAGCAACAACCAAAAAAAAAATTAAAAAAAAAAGACATGAAGGCTATTAACCTGCGTTGTGACACATAGACACGTGCACAGGAGGAGCAGCAGGGACTGGAGTGAGGCCCAGTTCCTCTGCACTCACACTACACCAGGCCAGCCCCAGCCCTTATGCAAAGCTCAACTGCTGCAATGCCAAACCGCAGCTCCAGACACATGCTGAACCCCTAGCAGGGCTGTGGGTCTGCACACTGTGCCTCAGCAGCTGTTATTCTTAGATCTTACAAAGAATTAAAAAAAAAAAATTAAAAAGATGCAATGCATTTTTCTCTTTTTTTTTTTTAGAAGCTCTGCTATGTAAATGATTTCTACTTGACCTCATTAAGGAAAAAAAAAAAAAAAGAGAGAGAGAAGTTAGAGAACGCAAAGTCCACGTGCTGTTATGGGAATTGAAAACTTATTTTCTCCTCCATCTTCCATTCCAGCATCTATAAATAAAGGCCAAAAATCCCCCTTTTTGGGCAATGCATAAGCCTGGAAAGAAAGTGCATAAACACAGAGCTTAGGAGCAGACTTCTGGCCGCTTCAGAATGAGGAGCAGTTTACATTTCTTTAACTAAAGCACGGGAAGGTACAGCAATGATTGCTCTCCACTTCAGCATGCAACAGGCAGGATGCTGAGCTGCCAGCAGCCTGTGCTCTCCTTGGCACAGTGGGACCACATCCTTGTAAAGTGCAAATAAGGAAACAACAAATGTCCTATGATATAAAGGCACTGGGACAACCAATGAAAATAAGAGGTAGGAAGCTAAAAATCTACTAGCAACGAGATACAGCTCGTTCACAGAAAACTTGCTGAAAATAGCCTGCAAGGCTATTATAACCCTAAGCTGCAAGCATCTAAATTAAGTTAAAATGAGATGATGTGTACTGCGTGGGTCTCACCTCTGCTCATGTCCCATGCATAGGAGAAGTAACCCAGACTAGACCAATGCCTGAGCTCCTAGGAAAATACGTATTTGAAAGAAGTCCTCCTTGCACCACTCTCATTCCTTCAGCCACTGCAATGGGTTTGCTGGGTGACACAGCAGCCAAACCCACTCACACCTGGCAGCCCCTGTGGGGACACTCCCTGACCACATACATTGCTGGCAGCTCCCTGGGCTCCCGCTACCTTCAGACGGCATCTCCAGACCCTGAAGCATCACCACTGTTAACTTCCTTCCACTGAAACCCCATGAGATCACATCAAGAAATACTAAAGTTCAGAGAAACAAGAAGTGTCTGATCCAGTGCTGGGAAGGCACCGAAAAGATGTCTTCCCAAGCTCCACGATCCCTCACAGCTCTGCAGTACAGCATTAGGACACACGTTTCCAAGGAGTAATTAAAAAAAGACTGTGTTAATACAACATAACCTTTCCCTTCCTTTTTGTTTGTTGATAACTCCTAAAATTACCCAAACTGAACGCTCACAGGAATTTTTGCTATTTTGTGCAAAAGCACCATTACATATAAACAAGAAAATGTAATGGTTGTTTTCCCTTTGAGGAAATCACTCACACAAGAAGCCTCCCCTCTTCTCTTCAGGGAAAACATGTTTATAAAATCCAACTGGAGTGGAAGACTTCAGGCACACACAGTACTCACCACAGGCTCCAGCTTACAAAACAGCACCAACTAGGCAGTCAATGTAAAAATAAATCCAGTTGGTTTTTGTTCTTTTTTTTCATGCTGTTGAAATCAACATCTGCGTAGTTTGGTCAGAGCTTCAAAATACTGCTTATAATTCAAAAGGCATTTGGCTGTTACCACTTCACCATGGTTGACATAAAGTGCGTGTCTGACACTAAAAATGGATCCACTGGAGATGGTGTGACAAAAGACAGCCATGCAGCTTCTCAGCCGTGGAAGAGAAAAGTGTGCTGACAGCTGAAAGTCAGTGATGTTACTGCAATAATAGTTAAATGCAGCAGAATGACACAAAAAACCTTACGTTCTTAATACCTTGCACTTGGCAGCTGGAATTGATGATCTTTGCTGTTCCATACTCTGTATTCCTCTACCAATTTGTAGCATACACTACCATGTAACAACATAAGCCACTGACATCACAGGCCGTCATAAACCATCAAGAACTAGTAGTTCAGGTTTGCCAGACCAGCATGTTCCCCATGTCTAGTTTTGAAACCTCCTGCGACGATGCCAGCATCAAGATGAGGCAGTAATTTGTCTCAGTTTCTGGGGAAAGAGCCCTCCCCATGAGCTCATTGCCTGGCCATAAGCCCAGGAGAAGGGCTGAGGACAGTACCAACAGGCAGAGCTCTGGGAAAGTTGTCATCACCTCACCTGGCTCCACAGCTGTGTTTCCCAGTCTTCCCCCAGGTGGGTTACCACCCCATGAGCTCAGCAACAATCCTGCCTGGCTGTCCCATACCAGCTCTGCCCAGGAACCTCATGGCAATCTTAAATAGCTTCAACTGAAAGAGATGGGAAAAAGTGAAACTCAAGCAACTCATTCCTACCTCCTACTGAAGGAAAGGGACCAAGAAATCATAGAGCCATGGGGTGGTTTGTGTTGGAAGAGAACTCAAAGACCCATCCAGTGTCTCTGAGGCAGGGACACCTCCACCCAATCAAGCTGCCAGGATGCCATCTAGTGTGGCTTTGAGCACCTCAAGGGATGGGGCAGCTACAGCTACTCTGGGCAATCTTTTTCAGTGCCCCACCACGCTCACAGTAAAGAATTTCCTCCTTATATCAAATCTAAATCTCTCCTCTTTCAGTGCATCTGTTACCTACTATTACAGTTTTCCATGTGCTCAACATTTCTGATATGAGTAATGTAGCAACAGAAGCAGGTCAGAGGGGACCACAGCAGACAACAACTAAACGAGGTAAGTGACAGTAAGCATAGAAAAATTACAAAAAAATTAAATCTTCCCTCTTGGGTGAGTTAAAAAGCAGAGGCAGAAGTTGAAGATCAGAGACTGTGGCAATGATGGAAAGACAAGCATTTGGTATGATGGAAACCCACGTTCTAGGGAGAGGGTGCAGATAGGAATAAATAGATCTTGAAGACACAGCAATGATTCCAGCTCCACTGCCTTCTACCCTGTGGCTTGCAGCTCTGGAAAGAGATGGGCTACATGGCACTGCAGCCTGTAGGGTGGCTTTCCTGGTCCCTTCTGACCCAGCCCCTCTGGGTAATTTATCTACATGATACTTCTATGAAAATAAAGGTAAAGCTGGTCCTTGGAAAACACACATGAATCCATAAATTGTAAGATGGTGAAAAGGCTCTGCTCTGACATCATGAAGAAAGTGCAAAAAACTCCCAGTTCTGCTAAGGCAAGACTGTGCCAGTGGTGATTATATGCATACACTGTTCTCCTCATAAAGCAAATGAAAATAACTCTAGCATCATCTGGGTTTCAAAAGGACAGTAAGAAACAAGAGACAGTCTGACTTAACTGTGGACATGCTCAACTGAAGGAAAAACAATGTTGATTTGAACTTGAAAGATTCATTCATCATGAAAATGCTTTAACATTCATCCAGGAGAAGCAAGCAGACTGATCATTTAAAACTTGTCCGTTAATTCAGATAATTACTACCAAAAACACTTGCAGTGAGGATGATGATTTCTGAAGGAGGAGTTTGGGAAATGGGAATCTTCACATTCCAAGATAAAAATCTGGGATAACTGAATGCATCCTACATCTGGTGCGGCTGACCCTGGCACTTTGCAAAAGGACTCTGAAAAGGGAATTTGTCATTAAATAAGCACCTGAGAACAGTGGAAGGTATTTTGACAAGGAAAGACAGAAATAAATTGCTTTCTCTTATTTCTCCTAAAGAAAAGAGTGGGGCCAACATAAAAAGTAAGATCTACACTTGAGCTAGACTGCAGATGCTGAAATAAGACTTTAAATAGAATACCAATTGCATGGGAGTTTTTTTGCACTTTTTTTTTTTTTAACCAAACATGGAGTCACGAGCAGGAAGAGCTTTTTTAGAGAGCAGCTGGAGCCAGTTTGCTCTACATCATCACTTAATTTAGCAGAAGGGCCTCGGTTGAGGTGAGCAAAGCCCTTAAGGCACAGTTGCTGCAACTCTGTCCCAGCTGAGAACAGGACAAGAGGAGCTCACCTGCCTGGTTCCAGCATTTGGACAACACGACTGCTCGGCAGAAGCAGACAGAAAGCTAAAAACTCCTCAACTATTCCAAAGTGCTGCAGATAAACCAGATTTCTTACCAGCATTTCACGCACAAACTTCCCCAAATCTCAGTTCTACAAGATTGCTAGCAAAGTTCATCAGTTGCCAGACTACTTTGCACCACTGCATGTATTTAGCACCTGAGAGCTATGACCTCACTCACCCCTCATACTTTAGGACCCAGATTCCCCATCCAGCCCCCTGGTCACAGAAATCCCCAACACTCATTTCAGGAGCTGAAGCATCCCAAACCCCATCCAGGGGTGCCAGAAGAAATAATTCCATCACCCAAGTGAAGCAGCGTATGCGCATGCACCTGTTCCAGCACAACAACACAAGTACTTGGTAGAAACATATCCTTTAGCAACACAAAAGCCACAGCACTTGTGCCACATCCACAGGACAGCTTTCCTATCACTACTAGCCTGCAGAGCAGCTTCAGGAGGTGCCTGTTTCCAACAACCACACTGCTTCAGCTCAGGTTCTCTGCATTTCTCCTCCTTCTCCTTTGACATCTGCTCCTGATAGAAGCAAGCTGCAGCAGCACACAGGTGGTGCCCTCCCCAAAGCACTCCAGGTCTCGTCACCCATATCTCACTGCTGAATCCTGCTCTGTGACCCCCTACAGCAGGAGAATCTCAAGTCTCTTTTAGAGCTCAATCTCTTGCAGCCCCGATGCCTGCACTGCACTGAAGCGATGACGCGTTTCTCCCACTTCCTTACATTGATAGAAAACAAAAGCACCTACTGTTGCTCAACATTATCACAAAACATTTGCTTTTCCAGACTGTTTCTCCCCTCCGCCTTTTGGAAGGGATTTTGGCAGAACAGCAGCCTCAGCTCTTGCTCCCCACTAGCAGCAGCGTTGGGTGATTTGGGAGCTGAACTGCACACCATTCCCAGACAACATTCTGCCCACTCAGGCATTCTCTGCTCTCACTGGGCACTGTGCATCCTTCCCACAGACCCCTAATCACCCCCAAATCCACACTGCTGAAGACACTGGTCTTTTACAGTAGCCACAGAAGTGTACTAAGCCCACATTTCTCCTGCCAATGAGATTCAGAATTAAACACAGGTGCCACATGAAAAATTAGGCCCGGCTGCCAAGCTCACAGCTCTAGAAAAAGCACTGAATGCATTAGCATACAGTCACATTTTATTTTTAATTTTTTTTTTAAGCAACCAGAGTATCAGGTTTAAGGTCCCCAATTCAAGACAGGCAACTGTCTTGATTTGTCCAACTCAGGACCTGAAATCCTCAGCTCCCGCTACCCAAGCTAACCTTGCAAGCTGCTGCCCATTCACAGAAAATCCTCACCACTGATTTGGGTGCCGAGAGAAAAACAAAATACAATCGAACAACCACTTCAACATTATTCTTGTCCCTTCCCCAGACTCCAGACAATGCTCCAACTCCATGTTAGGTGCTGCAGTCAGGAAAGACCTGACCCAAACCCATGCAGTGATGCTCCGGACTGCAGCATCCCCAAGGGACAAGATACTGGCGTGGATTGCATGCTTGCTGTGCTGCCTTGAACCTCCAGCTGCAGGGAAGGGATGGATGCTGGCTCTGGTTAAACTAAAAGGAAGCCCAGGAGAGCTGGCTGAACAGCATGCTACCATTTAGGAATATAAAAAAAAAAGGTTCCTACCTTACAAAGGCAAGATTTTTTAGATGCAAATTGCAACTTCAAGCACACATTACAGGTTTCACAAGGAACTGCCTAAAGCTGCATTAAGAGACCTGGGATGCTTTGGGTTTTTTAGATTCTAGAGGACATTGAACTAAGTCAGCTCAGCTCCACATATGGGGCCAGAGAAAAGAAATGCCATCACAAGGTACCACATGACTTGGACAAGGCTCAGCCATCTCTTACCAACCATCCTTTGTACTCACAGCAAACACAGGCGAGTGCTTATTATTTACCTGTGGCTTAATTGCCCTCCTCACTCAAAGTCATCAGAGCAAGAGCAGAGATGCATCCAACAGCTCAGAACACCAGCAGTTTGCTTACGACAGCCCAACCGTTTCCACTAGCAATTATCAACAGTCAGATAGCATCAGCAACCCAACCTGAGAGTGCTTGTGCAGCTCCTCCTCTTCATGCCATCGCTTCTCAAGAAGGTTTTCCACAGCCACTTTGAGGTTCAGAACTCAGACACCAGGGAAGGAGCAGCCCAGCAGCCTGTGGATGGATGAAGACAACCTTTATGTTTTACGCAGGAGTTCATCTGCTTATCTGTACCATCTCAGAGATGACAACATTTGTGGGAAAGTCCCAGATTGCTCCATATAGTGAGCTGCAGATGAAACCACTCCACACAGACCTCAAATTCAGGTTGCCCTTTTTTATGCCGAGCTTCTATGGGATTCTTAAACAGTAGCATTTCTGTCTATTCCTGTGTACAGTTTCTTTTACACTTCTTGTCCAAACTCAGTTTTCTGAAAAGCTGAGATCTCACAAATCACATTCTCAATTGCTTTTCAAAAGCAGGTGACATCTCCGTGCCTTGGAAAAGCCCTTGCAAGATACACCCAGTTCTAAAATCATATCCACTTGACACTAAAATCCACCATCAGAGACAAATCCAGCAGAACACAGGCTGCCAATCCCTTTTCCCCTCCCCTCAGCAACACATCTTTGGCTGAAAAAGCTTCTGCAACTACAAATGCTTTCAAGAAATTGTTATAAAAGTTTATTGAGAGATGGTCATATAAAAAAATACATTCTTGAGGAGAGCTGCAGCTGAAAATACCCAATCCCCACACCCATTCTTCAGAGAAAATATTATCAGATGTCACTTCCCAACGTTAAAAACATATTTGTTTGTTTCTTTTTAAATTAAGGTTGGACTGTGAACACTGAATTTTGTTGCTAGTGATCACAACATGGGTACCTTCAATCCTGATGTCCTTTGCTATTAATTCAGTCTCAATCCATGCCCTCTGACTTGCAGGGAAATAGCATCTAGCCACCCGTACCGAGTTGCAGTGCTTGTGCCATCCAGATTTATCTTTATTTTTTATAGTTCAGGATATCGAGGCGGAGAACGTGGGAAGGAGACAACGTCAACAAGCAGAGCAGCAGCAGTGCAGAGTGAGCATCAGCATGTGTGGGTTAGAAAGCATGTCTCATCCAAACTGCGTTTGGGTTTGATAGGGAAATCCTCTGTATGGGGAGGTTAAAGGGGAAGCTCAGCTGCTGCCCAAACCACTGGAGGAGGTCTTCAATGCTCAGTGGGCACCAAGAGCCACTCCATGCTCCTCTTTGTGAGCACTACCACAGAAAGACGTGGCTCATGTAGTGCCCATCAGGTACAACCTGCAGATGGAGATGATTTATGCGGAGACAGGCATTTGTTTAATAAATACTGCATATGGCCTTCTGCTAATTTGTAACAGTTCATCAACTCTGCTCATTTCACAGGACCCCTGCAGTGCTATGCATTAATAATAAAACACATTTTTTCTGACAGCTCAAAGAATATTTTTAACATGAAAGTGTCAGCATTATCCTCTCAAAGCTGAGCCATCCTGGCTGACAGCCTCATCACATTATATGCAGAAACCAAGCGGGGCTCTGAACATATCTCATTTGCACCATACAGGCCCTCCAAAAAACACATCTGAGCCCCAACACCAGAGCTGCTAAAAGCAGTACACACCAAAAAGCATCACCTGCTGCCACAGAACAGACTAGCACAGGCAAAGGCCATGCTTAGTGCTTATAAAAAGGACAAGAAACAGCATAAGTCAGAACCTCTGGTTTACCAATTTGCTTTAAAGAATGGCTATCTCATTCAGCTTGTCCTTACTAAAGGCTGTTGGCAAATTCAAGTTCTAATGTGAGCATGGAACAGGTTAGGAACAGGCCACTTGCTTGTCAAAAGGGTGAAATAGAAGAGATGGCGGAAAAAAGTAGAGTACTAATAAAATTTTTGGCCTCCTAACCCTTCACATATATACACTGTGTCCCCATTTAGTAACTCTCAGAGACATCGAGAAATAGAACTGAAATTCTTCCGGTTCCTTACTGTGGTGCCCAGCCCACTGGTTCCATTCCAGGCCAGCACCTTGCTACCCTATGTTCTCACTGCCCTTTGGGGGATGCATCCAGAAACCCTCCCAAAGAAGAGCAGAGCCTGAGCAGCTGCTACCTGCAGCAATGAAAAAACTCTTGAAAGTGAACTAACCTGGAAAGTGATGAGCAGGAAAACAGGCAGAGCTATGGCATCAGCCTTTTAAAACTTCCTTCAGGAGATGCACCTGAGAGTGAGGTGAGGTGAGAGCAACCCAAGCCAGGTTGGGTGACCTCCCTGTGCTGTCCTCAAGGAGGAGATCCCGAAGGATGTCCTGACTGCGACGCAGCCCCACGGGCACAGCCTCCCCTCTGCACATGCAACCCAGAGCAACTCACAGAACTTGCCCACGTGGTGACATCACTGGGCGTCTAAATAAAGGAAGCTTTTAATAGAATTTCCCACTGACGGGCTTAATCCGGTAAGCCCTGAAAGCCAGGGCTTCATCAAGGGACGGAAGGAAAAGGGAAAACAATAACCGCCCATTTTGGGGCCAGGCAGGTAGGCGGTGTCTTGGGAAAGAAACCAAAACAAACCAGGATTGACTGTCCAGTACCTGTGCATGGGATACGAGGCACCTGCATGAGCAGCACTTACTGTCAAGGAGTTCTCTCTGCATTCATTTATTTTCTTTTTAAATCAAAAAACAGCTCCGCCTATTTCTGCACCAGGGTAGGGAAGAGAAGGATGAAGTCGAGGAGAGGTACGATGAGGATAGGAAGAGAAAAAGCTGAGCTTGAAGGCTGAATAACACAGGGTCTTTCTGGCTTCATGTTCGTGCGGCAGGTTCTACACATCCTAAAAACAAACCAGAGATGTCCGCATATTTAGATGGCTCCTCGCTGCAAATACTTCCAGGACAAATCATCAGCAAGCAGCACGTCCTGGAAACTCTCACAAAACACCAACGAAACCAAAACCGCCCAGAGGTTCAGTCAAGTTCACATGTCGTGCTCGTCATCCTCTTCTGTGCAATTCTTTATCAGTTCCACAATGCCACGAAGCAGTTCCCCTTCCTCCCTCTGCTCCTCCAGCATCTTGGGCCGGGCATCCACATGGAGCGCCTCGCAATCGCCAAGTGACTCATGCTGCAGTAATGCGGGTGGGAACGGCTCCCATGCCCAGCCTGTAAGGACACAGCCTTTTATGGTATTTTTAGAATGGAAGTTGTGGTGGTTTGTAGCACTTCGCCTTTTGTTTTGCCTGGGAGAACAGAGCTAACACTGCCCGTGCCCCAGGACCAACAGTGAGGAGCCTGTACAGGTTAGGAGTGAGACAGTACTGCTCTCTGTGGTCTCTCTTGCCTGCAGTGCCACCCACTCCACACAGCAGGGGCATGGCTCTGGCCACAGCTCCAACACAAGGACACATATTGTACAGTGGACACTGTAACTGTGGCAAAACCATTTTGTAAGAATTCCTTCCCTGCATCCCCTGAGCTCTGCCAGCCTGTGTATGGCAGTAGGCTAACAGTCCTGATGACAGCCTCCAGGGGAGAAGCACAAGGAGAAGTACACACTGTGCCTGCCCTCAATGGGCTTGCAGCATCCGACAGGTGGATGGTGCTGCAAAGGCAACTGAGTCCTATCTCATCTGTCTTTTCCTCGGTGCGAGCTGAAACTTAGGACTGCATCTCTCCCTACTTAGCCAGCATCCATGAAATCAACTCTTTAGACTTTCATCCTGTAATATTTAGCTGAAATGTTATTAGGAAAAAGCAGGCAGGTGTTGTGCTGAGAGGAGGCTACCAGAGACACAGACACTGAGCATGTGGTAGGAGTGCTACCAGGAGCACTGCTCCCCAGATCCAGGGACCTCAGCACATGTGGCTTGAGCTTGGCAAGACAACACAGCCTGCTCAGGGTGCTTTTTAGGAGCTGACACTCACACATGGGGTAACAGAGCATCCCAAACACTGAAACAGGATTCCGGTTTTAAATGAGCAGCAGATCACTTTACAGACAGCTCTCTGCTCCTTTCCACCTGAAGCACTATCTGCTCTAGAAGAGGAGGGAATGACAATTTCTGCCTCTTCAAGTATCTCCAGTCACAACTCCAAACAGCAGCTGATTTTAATCCTTTCAAAACTGTTATTCAAGAAGAAATTAGATGATAACCTGTACATGCATAAGAAGACTAGAAGAAGAAGAGTCATCAGGATGAAGGTAGTAGTAATCGATCCTCCTGATGCAAAGCACTGACATCCAATTTTCCTTTCACCAGTACCAGGCAGCAGTGGAAGCAGCTGGCTTACCGTGGGACGGTTACGGAGCTCACCGCAGCACGGCAGAGGAAGTGCAGGGAGCGCCGCTCCGGGGCGAGGGCTGGAGCACAGCAGACAAAGCAGAGGGGAAGTCAGGGGGAGTTACGCACCAGAGAATGCACAGCCCACTACGTACCTTGGAGGCAAGCCAGGAAGGCGAAGTCTATAAACAGCAGCACAACTCACAGCAAACCCCTCCAGCCTTAAGTGCGAGTTGAAAGAGAGCCTTAACAGTGATTTGGTGTAGTTGCAGCATCCATTGCCCACAGCACTGTTCACTGTCCCAGCGCCCAGCTGCTGGGGTAGGCACACCTCTGAATGAGGGCACGGTCCTGCCCCTCGCTGCACAAATCCCCACTGCATTTTTTGAACTTGCACGTGTCCAACGCATGCCGACATTCATAACGCATCACGCTGGTGATGATCTCAGAGCTGTTCTGCAACCGCCACTTTTGGTCTCCTAGGGGGACAGGCAGAACTACCCAGATGGTCTGGGAGAGAGACTGCTGCTCCCTCATACATCTCCAAGCTCAGGGAGTCTTCCTGCAGCTAGGCAATGCATACAGACTACAGAATTAAAGTTCAAAAAAAAAAAAAAAAGATCACGTGAAAGCCTCCACCCTGTTCGAAGGAACACAATGAATTTCCTGCAGTCTTCAATGGCTACACATAAAGCTAAAAGCCTTGCCACAAGGACCACAACATCACCCAGACACTAACTCACCTTACTTCTCAGTCCTGCAGAGCCAGCTCAGCCACAGGAAAACAATATTAACTCTTTCTGGCCTCATTTTTCATAATTCAACCAGTGGCTGTGCACAAGCAAAACAAGTCACTCACCTTTCACAATCCTTCATTTGGACCAGCATTATCAAATCTGATTAAAAAAATACCAACAAGAGGAAGAAAAACAAATGCAGAAAAGTACTGAACAAAACAACAAACCCAAAACTGCTCTGTCCAGGAAATGGTACACCCAACACTTATCTGGGACTCAGAACTTCTACACCTGGCCCCCCTGCCCTTCACACTTTCATATGGGGCTGGGCAAAGGGAAACCTCCTGTTTGGCACCCTAAAGCTGACAAAGCAGACAGCAAGTATGCTTTGCACCACTTTGTAACAGCGCTTTGATAGTGAACACCCACAAAATAGAGCTTTCCCCAGCCAGCAGGTTTCTTTGCAAGCCTAAAAGCATCAGGCATCAGCTCCTACAAAGTCTTAATGCAGATGCTGGGCTGGGACACGTGGAGCAACCTTGGCTCTGATGCAGCCCAGCTATCTGCTGGTTATGGCTCCAAAGGGGCAAAATCATCCTGCTGAGCACAAGCTGCTCCTCCTGGAAGTGGCACATTGAGCACACTGGACCAACCTCACCCCTGAGCTGTCAGCGGCTGGAGCTGGTCTGCAAATTGCACACTGATAGGAGGCTTCAGAAGCCTTGCACAAGAAAGCAGAACGAAATAAAACCTCAGCAGGGCTGGTTCTCCTTGACATGTAATTTCTCCCCAGGCAGTACAGCACAGTGTGAATGTGGCAGCATGTTGGACAGGGAAAGGCAGGACACGGCACTGTGCTGGCACATGGGAACGCCCCACAGCAGGCTCTCTTTGCCCAGTGGTTGTCTGTGCAGTCCCAACACAAAGCCTCTAAGTGCATTTCAGGCTCAAAAGTCAGCTGAAACAGGTCCATTCTCCCCTCCCACTCCATAAATACGATCCAAATTGGGTCATCTCCTAACAATATATGAATGACATTCATTTAAGCCTCTGATGCCGTGCTGACATAAGCTGTGTCCTTTCACTCTCCTTGCACTGTGAGTGCTAAAGATGCTTTTGTACAACTCCTGAAGTACTCCATTTAAAAACCATGGTAACTAGAGCATTGCATTCAGTTGCTCTTGAAAAAAGCCAGTCCCCTTTTCCCTCAATAGGCTCTTGGATAGCTCAGGGACAGACAGAAAAACACTGCCTGATTCAAACTGCTTGGCCCAATGGCTGGAGGTGGGATGCTGTTGTGCATCACTCACAAAGTGCTGGGGACCCCTTGAATGCTGGAGGTCAACTTGTGTCCAAGGCGAGACAAGTCCTGCAGTGTTGGGTGTTGTGCCATAGATCTCCTACCTGGTTCCTGAAGCCAAGAAGCAGCCAGAAGTCAGCACAGCTGCAGCATTAGATGGGCAATTCCATGAATGATTCTTTCCAATATCCCAGTGCAGCAGGCAGTGAAGAAAAGAAGAAGCAAGTCTTGCTGTTATCTTTACACAGCAGCAACAGTTCAGTGAGTTTTGGTGAGGTTTTTCTTGCTAGTCACAACTCTTAGGCATTAAAAACACTTCTGCACTTCAGAATCTGGAAGTCTGTCTGCTGGCACCAGCGGTGTCCTCCTTTCTGAAATGGAAATATTCAGACGTGTGGGCACGGAGATCGGATGGAAAGAACAGGGCAGTTCCCACTAAAAACACCATTAAGTGGGAAAAACTAAAGTGAAGAGGCCCTCTCAAAGAAGGGACATTTGTCTAAAATGGAAGGCCCAATTATTTGTTTTTCTTTAAAAGGAAAAATATTCATAGCTCTGGGTTCATTACAGAAATCATACGCACCAGCAGCAGAAAGTCTAACGCCTTAAACATGACCTCACTGCTGCACCTCCCCTGCATGCCATTTTAGCAGACTTTTTTTTTTTTCCAAATCCAACTACACACCGTTACGGAGCCACATTCCAAGATTTAAGATTTTAAAATTAGAAGTCTTTTACCACAATGTCTGCAAAAACACCCTGCCAAAAAAATGGTACAGCATGAAAAACAAAGTCTACCCTGTTAGGCAGCTTGTTCCAGGAGTGAAGCACAGAAAGATGCTCTGTGCCTGTCTGTGGGAACTGAACCAGATGCAGGGGATGTGAGGTGTGCTCCCATTTCAACACAGCATGTTTCAAGTCATTGCAAATTAGCTCAGGGGTCGCTGTACACCAGCCCAAGGAAGAGGCCAAGGGCATATCAACAACAGAATGTGCACTCACTTGCTGGAGATGCAATCTTGTTAGAAGGCAGCATAATGTCTTGCCTTAAAGAACACCTTTGTGAAAAGGAAAACCAGGGTACATAATGCTTAACTGATTTCCCATGCAGACAGATGAAATGAGACTCCATCAGCCAAGCAGAGACACAGCTGAACAGTGGGCCACAGATAAAGCATGCCATATGGGTCAGTACGCAAACCTACGAGAGCCTTCCTCTATGTCTGTGCCGCTGTATCTAATGCCCAAGCCTGCTTACTGATGGAGGTGTATTTCTGTGGGATGCTCCTTATGTCCAGGACATGACTGCTACCTCCAGCTTTCATGTGAAAAACAAGGCACAACTTCAGCAGAGGAAGTAAGGACTGAGCATTTCAGCTCCCAGTACCTGACCGGAGCAACCACTGGTTTATGGGATTTTCCACTTCAAAAAAAATATACATTTTTCTGGCTAACAAAGCATCATCTTTCCTAAGACAGATGGCTGTTATGAGAGAAGGGAAAGAGGTGAACCAAGGACAAGCTCTGACCAGTTAATTCTGAATTCCCTAGTTCTGCTGCTCTGCTCAATCCATAGCCTTAGTTTTCAGCAGGACTAGAACAGGAGGAAGCTTGTAACAGAAAACAAGAAAACCATTTGGAGAAATTCTCACCATCCACACTCTGCTCCACAACAGCCTGTCAGTGCCTGAGATTATTTTCATGGGAGTTTTGTTTACGAAAGAGCACATTCTTTGAAGTCCAAAAGCAGAACGCTGTGGTAGATCACAAAATATTAATCACGTATCTGATCACACAATGTTTGGGGTGGGTTAGTAACCTGCTGTCTGAGAAAATAAGTTTGCTCACAGACAGGTTTATGAACGTTTTAGCAATTGCCTCCTCCTCCAAGCAAGCTGCCCAGACCTGCCCCCCCCCCGCCACATTTCCTGGCTGCTGTGGTTAATGAGATCTCTGCAACACATGCTTTGACAAACACTATGGCAAGCAGGGCTGCTTCAACCTGTGATAGGGCTTCTTCCATCCCTGTGCAAAGTATCTCTGTCCCCAGCAGCAAGCTGCTGCTGACAGGCACTACAGGTGCTGCTCTGCCTTCCTTTCCCTGTGGGTCAAACACCTTAGTAAATGAAGATTTCACAGTTGTCTAAGAGTATCACTGGGAGCCTGCTCCAGGATCACAGGGACACCAGGTTCCTGATTGCAGAGGTCTGGCAGTCACTTTCCTTGAAGCATAACACTTGTGATCCTCCGTCCATGCTCTGTTCCTCCAGCAGAGGAAGGGCAGATCCATGTCAAACCTCAACGCTACGAGCAAACTTTGGTTTTGTGTTGCCACAAGATTCTTCAGTGGCATGAAAGAAATAAAAAATTCCTCGCATTTGCAGCAAGAGATGGAGAAGTCTGCAGTGACCTTGGTTTCAAGAGGAACACACTGTTTCCCAAGCCAATGCGTGTAGCAGCCACAGAGATCTGTGGCTCCGGAGATGAGCCTGGCTCCCAACCCCAGCCCCTATTGGCAGGCAGTCATGCTGACATGCCCTGTGCCTGTTCCCAGAAGCAAGGATCTCCCACTCAAACATGCTACACTGCTCAATCCCTGTGGAAAAGGAGGAAAACACAGATATTAGAGGATGGACAGCAAGCCATGATGGCAAGCAATTTGCTAGCCAAGCAGAAGACAGTCACAGTCATGTGCATGTCCTTTCAGCTGCTCCACTGGCACTACTTCATTCAGTGAGGTGACCAAGAGATCTCTTGGCCAGAGATCTACCGTCTCACATCTGAAACACCACTCAACCTTCCTCTTCAACAATTTAAAGATGCAAAAAACCCACCACTGTAAGGATTGCATAATGGCAGCCCTTGCTTATCAGAAGACCTGGAGCACAGGTGACTGCAGCCTGGTTTCACTGAAGTAACATCACTCCCATTCTGCCCCAGGTAAAGAACAAATCCTGCAAGCGCAGTGAACACAAACCTTATAGGAAACCATGAGGATATGTCAATTCAGCTTTTTCACTACTGTCTGCATTTTCTATAGCAGAAGTCCCTTTGACATAGGTTGTAGGAGCAGACCTGGCCGCTGCAAACACAGATCACTTGTCTGCTACTGACTGGAATGTCTCCAGTGACTGTGTAGTCTTAGCAGAGAGCTCTCAAGAACAAACCACAGGGACTATCTCAAAAACATAAACAAACAAACCAAAAAAAGCCTTTGTATGACAAGTATAAAACCACCAGAAACGCAACCTGTCCTGCAACCAAAAATGCCAATGCTTGTCCCCAGACCAAAACACCAGCTCTCCATTAACAAAGCAAAGTGGTGCATGTGTGCAGTCTGAACTTCTGTTAAGGGTGCCACGTGACTGCCCAAAAACTGAGAAGTTCCCATCAGCCAGGAAGACAGCTATTTCCTCTGCATAGGCCCACCATCAATTAGTCACCTCAGTGCAAAGGAGCATTTGTCATTTATAAAGGCTCTCCCACAATACTCTTTTGACTGTATATCTTCTATATTGTCTAAACAATATCAGACACTGAAGCTACTTTCCAGCATTTCTGTAGCACCTGTACAGTAACTGGTCAGACACCAGAAGATAAGGAAGGCAGAGGGCTTTAAACATCACACTGGAAAGGTAAAGCAAGATAAAAAGAAAAAGGTTCACCAAAAGCAGTCATCCAGTTTCTACTCTATGCATCTCTGATCCCAACACAGCTCACCACCAGGAAAATACAAGGCTTCTACCCAATTCCCTTGACTAGTCACCTCAACAGGAGCTCTCATCATCCATGGTAACTTGCACAGCTCTCCTCTGCCTGCAAAGTCAAAACTAAGTAACTACTCAAATATGCAAGAAGTAGGATTACGTGGACGCGCAAAGAAAGTCTTTGCTGAGAAAAGACCAGAAAAAAACCCACAGTCAACACAGAACTGTCCATCCCCCACTTCACAGTAAATAATGAAGCTGCCAAAAAAACACAGCATTTACTGCAGAGCACAACAGCTCTCCGGGCTTACTTTCCCCATCTGACAGCCTGCAGGAAGGCTGTACTGTCAATTCACTTGCACGCATTCTAATTTCCATCAAGCAATCTCAGGAAGTAGCACTCCTGCACTGGATCCTGTGAGTTGGGTTTTGGGTTGATTTTTATGCATGTGGTTGTCAGCTCTGGCAATCTGAAGAAACGGCTGGTTATTTTATTACCACAGCATTTGGAAAACCAAAGCAAGTTCATCTGCAGCTTTCAGTACTTTTAACTGACTAAGTGCCAAGAACAGACAACTTCTGTCCTCTTCTAGGTCGTGCTGTTAGCAAGCACTACTCTCACTTCATTTTTAGCTGGAAAGACAGTGTAAAGGCTAGACAGCTACAGAATTGAAAGGCAAACAAATTGCCTAATGTTTCAGTAGAATGCAACATGCCACAAAACTTACTGCTTAGTAATAGGTATGGGGTCATGCATGCGTGTTTCCAAATTCCTTCTCTTTAGTATATGTTCCACAAATCCTCCAGAAGAAAGTCAATGCAATAAAGCACTGGAACACAGGAAATTCTACACTAACACAAGGAAGAACTTCTTCACTATGAGAGTGAAAGGGCACAGGAATAGGCTGCCAACACAAGTTGTGGAGCCTTCTTCTCTGGAGACATTCAAGACTTGCCTGGATGCCTACCTGTGTGACCTGCTGCAGGGAACTTGCTTCAGCAGGAGGTGGGACTAGATGATCTCTAGAGGTCCCTTCCAATCCCTACAATTCTATGATTCTGTGAAAGCACAGGACATTTTTTCAATCAAGCCTGCAATTAATCAACTTCCTCCCTGACTAAAAGGTCAGTCCCACCCATCTCCAAAGCACTTGCCTAAAAGCAGACTCCAAAGCAGAAAGGTCAAGGCAGGCAGTGTATCATCAGGAAATATTCAGCCCTGGGAATCACAAAAAAGCCATGTATGTGCTGAGGCACAAAACGAAACAACCTGAAGGAGTCACTGGTTTCATGCAAAGTATGTCAGGAATGAAGAATGTCTGTTCAATACTCAATGAAACACAGTCGGACGGCGTAATAAAGAGTTACAAGAGAAGGAAATTCTTCTTTGTTACACAAATTGAGCTGTGGCATGTTCTGCTATTTAAATCAAATTATAGAAACCATCTGAAAAGTAACTTGCAAATGGCTATAGAACAGTACCATCAGCAGCTGTTACAGCCTGTGACACATCCTCCTTCTACTTCAGCTGTCTCTGGGCCAACGCTGCCCAAGACGGACACAGGCACATCATCCCCACTTGAGCTCCCATGCATTGCCATAGACACTTACCAAACCACTTTGGAGTGGACTATGCCAGAAGGCTGTAAAAACCAGCACACACA